CCACCACCACCACCACCACCACCATAACCACCACCATCACCACCACTTCCACCACCATCACCAACCCAGCTCTCCTGTACCGTCTCCCCCCCACCACCACTACTACACACCACCACCATCACCACCACCACCATCACCATCACCACCATCACCACCACCTCACCACCACCACCATCACCACCACCACCATCACCACCACTTCCACCACTACCACCACCATCACCACCACCATCACCACCACCATCACCACCACTTCCACCACCACCACACATCACCACCACCATCACCACCACCATCACCATCACTTCCACACACCACCACCATCACCTCCACCATCACCACCACCATCCACCACTTCCACCACCACCACCACCATCACCACCATCATCACCACCACTTCCACCACCACCACCACCATCACACCACCATCACCACCACCATCACCACCACTTCCACCACCACCACCATCACCACCACCATCACCACCACCACACCACCACTTCCACCACCACCACCACCATCACCACCACCATCACCATCACCACCACTTCCACCACCACCACCACCACCCACCACCACCACCACCATCACCACCACCACCACCACCACCACCACCACCACCACCACCACCACCACCACCATCACCACCACCATCACCACCACCATCACCACCACCTCACCACCACTTCCACCACCACCACCACCACCACCACCACCACCATCACCACCACCATCACCATCACTTCCACCACCACCACCACCATCACCACCACCATCACCACCACTTCCACCACCCACCACCACCATCACCACCACCATCACCACCACCATCACTACCACTTCCACCACCACCACCATCACAACCACCATCACCACCACCATCACCACCACTTCCACCACCATCACCACCATCACCACCACCATCACCACCACCATCACTTCCACCACCACCACCACCATCACCACCACCATCACCACCACCATCACCACCACTTCCACCACCACTTCCACCACCACCACCACCATCACACCACCATCACAACCACCATCACCACCACTTCCACCACCACTTCCACCACCACCACCACCATCACCACCACCATCACCACCACCATCACCACCACTTCCACCACCACTTCCACCACCACACCACCATCACCACCACCATCACCACCACCATCACCACCACTTCCACAACCACCACCACCATCACTACCACCATCACCACCACTTCCACCACCAACACCAACACCACCAGCATCACCACCACCATCCCACCATCACCACCACCACCACCACCACCACCACCACCACCATCACCACCACCATCACCACCACCATCACCACCACCACCACCATCACCACCACCATCACCACCACCATCACCACCACCACCACCATCACTACCCCCATCACCACCACTTCCACCACCAACACCAACACCACCAGCATCACCACCACCATCCCACCATCACCACCACCATCACTTCCACCACCACCACCACCATCACCACCACCATCACCACCACCATCACCACCACTTCCACCACCACTTCCACCACCACCACCACCATCACCACCACCATCACCACCACCATCACCACCACTTCCACCACCACTTCCACCACCACCACCACCATCACCACCACCATCACCACCACCATCACCACCACTTCCACCACCACCACCACCATCACTACCCCCATCACCACCACTTCCACCACCAACACCAACACCACCAGCATCACCACCACCATCCCACCATCACCACCACCACCACCACCACCACCACACCACACACTACCACCATCACCACCACCATCACTACCACCAACACCTTTATACAGCTACATATTACCTGGCTAGCATTAGCTAGATTATTCTTCGTCCATGCATTCTACCTGTAGTCTACATGTTGTCTACCTGTAGTCTACATGTTGTCTACCTGTAGTCTACATGTTGTCTACCTGTAGTCTACATGTTGTCTACCTGTAGTCTACATGTTGTCTGCCTGTAGTCTACATGTTGTCTACCTGTAGTCTACATGTTGTCTACCTGTAGTCTACATGTTGTCTGCCTGTAGTCTACATGTTGTCTACCTGTAGTCTACATGTTGTCTACCTGTAGTCTACATGTTGTCTGCCTGTAGTCTACATGTTGTCTACCTGTAGTCTACATGTTGTCTACCTGTAGTCTACATGTTGTCTACCTGTTATCTACATGTATCCTACCTACGGTAGGTGTTACTGCTCCAGCGGTTCCCACCCAGACTAATGCTCAATCTTCAAAAAAAAATCATTAATATTTGTACCAGATTGTAAATATACTTCTTGAGTGACTTCCTGACTTTGTTTATTGACGTTATTCTATGTGAAGGTGGATGGAGACCTTTAATAATACAGCTGTTCAGAAATGTAAATATATGTGGGCAGGAAAAAGTCCTTGTTAGTTGTAGTGAGGAATTATGGTAAACATTACAGCTGAATCAGTAAACATTACAGGTGAGGAAGTAATCAATTACAAGCGAGTCAGTAAACATTGCAGGTGAGTCAGTAAACAATACAGGTGAGGCAGTTAAACTTACAGGTGAGTTAGTAAACATTACAGGTGAGTCAGTAAACATTACTGGTGAGGCAGTAAACACCACAAGCGAGTCATTATTACCAACACAGATCCTGCTGCTAGGCTTGTTGCACCTACCTGAAACAATGCCATCGAGAGCACAATCACTACAGCGTTCAAGAATTTTAGTAATAAAGTGTGCACCAGATGTCTTCTTTTGAGTATGCAGATATTCCCACCACTAATTTTATTTACAGATATTTATATTATGTACAATGTAAATGATAACATACTTCAAGTAATTGAACGGGAGTGAGAGAGAGTGCAAGAATGAGTACCCTAACTAGCTACAACTTCAGCACCCATACAGAGGAGAGAACTCTAGTATGTGTTAATCCGCTGAAAGCAGACAAGGAACTGAAGCTCCAAGACAAACCCTAGTTACAAAGTAGGCTGCAGTGGAGCCCCTCTCCTCACTGATTGACTGACTTGTACAACTGGTAGTTACCTTGCATGCAAAACTAAGGTATTGTGCTTTTAGCTGATATTGAGGGTAAGCAGGACTGATGTTATGTATAATGAACACTGAATACAGTGACATATTAGGCACATACCTCGGTCCATAAACATTACAGATGAGTCTGTAATTACTGAAGGTGAGTCAGTAGTATTACAGGTGTGAGTAATCATTCTAGGTGAATCACTGAGTATTACATTTCAGATTGACTCATGAAATCGTAATAACACGATTGCCAACAAACCACTGTACGGGTGGGATTAGAATCCATGGCGAGTGAGTCGTAAGACTCCAAGGAGATTTACGACTCACTCGCCATGGGTTCTGACCCCATTAATCAGTAAAAATTACGAGTCAGTAAACATTACAGATTAGCTAGGCAAACAATACAAGTCGTCTAAACAGCCAAGGTGAGTCAATAAATAGTACGAATAGACATTAGAGGTATGTCAGTAAACAATGTAGGTGAGTCACGTAAAGAATGTACGAGTTGGTAAACATTACAGGTGAGTTAGTGAATAATAGAAGTGAATCAGTACACAATACAAGCGAATCAGTAAATAATATAGGTCAATTAGGAGAATATTATAGGTGAGTCAGATAAATAATAGGTAAACAATGCAGGTGAGTCATGTAAACAGTATAGTTGAACAATCAGGAAGACAATACAAATGAGCCAGGTAGACACTAAAATTAATCAAGTAAAAAAATATAGGCGAGTCAGCTAACAATGAGCCAGCTAGCAATGAGTCGGCTAAGAATGAGCCAGCTAGCAATGAGTCGGCTAACAATGAGCCAGCTAGCAATGAGTCGGCTAAGAATGAGCCAGCTAGCAATGAGTCGGCTAAGAATGAGCCAGCTAGCAATGAGTCGGCTAAGAATGAGCCAGCTAGCAATGAGTCGGCTAAGAATGAGCCAGCTAGCAATGAGTCGGCTAAGAATGAGCCAGCTAGCAATGAGTCGGCTAAGAATGAGTCAGCTTAGCAATGGGGTCGGCTAAAAAATGAGCCAGCTAGCAATGAGTCGGCTAAGAATGAGCCAGCTAGCAATGAGTCGGCTAAGAATGACCCCAGCTAGCAATGGTCGGCTAAGAATGACCAGCTAGCAATGAGTCGGCTAAGACTGAGCCAGCTAGCAATGAGTCGGCTAAGAATGAGCCAGCTAGCAATGAGTCAGCTAACAATGAGCCAGCCAGCAATGAGTCGGCTAAGAATGAGTCAGCTAACAATGAGCCAGCTAACAATGAGTCAGCTAACAATGAGCCAGTTAACAATGAGCCAGCTAACAATGAGTCAGCTAACAATGAGCCAGCTAACAATGAGTCAGCTAATAATGAGCCGGCTAACAATGAGTCAGCTAACAATGTGCTAGCTAACAATGACCTTGGCTAAGCCAAGTCCCATATACATCATGCTCAACATATATACCTTACTTAATCTAGCCCCTTATCTATCCTACTGAACCTATCCTGGCTACAGCCTCACCGTTCCTCACCATTTCTTGTCCCATACTGAGCCTCAATAACAATGGCTGTCTCCCAATACAGTCTCACTAGTTAACTACAGTTTCGCTAGTACACTAAAGTCTCACTAGCTCATTACAGTCTCACTAGTTAACTACAGTCTTCCCGGTTCACAACATAGCGTTACAAGACATTCCGACTAAGTTTCACCATTCCAGTATACATGTTGAAAACACATCCGCTCTTCCAGTGTTTCTTAATGCTGGTAACAGTGCTCTTCATCAAAGGAATTGTAGCTATTTTTTAGTTTCTTGGCTCGGAACTGATTCCCCCCCCATCCTATTTTTCAGGCGTTGTATGACCCTTACGGTTTTAGAGTTTCCCCATGAATGATAGAAATAGTCTGGCTTAGATGGAGTGTGTATCGTGGCCCCTTGACCATGGATGACCCACCGGCAGGTTCTTAGGGAGTGACAACCCTGACCAGTACTTCACCAATACACAGCGATCCAGGATCGTCCACGAGATCCTCTCCACGGCACCGTTTGGCAAAAGGAAGAAAGGGGAGATAGGCTTCGAGAGGCTGGTGGAGGAAGGAGTGTACAGTGCCGCCTTCCCACTCCATGATGTGAGTATTGTTACCTGCTCCACCTACAATCCACCCAGTTTGCTTAATGACAGCTTATGTTGTGAGTATGTTACCTGCTCCATCTGCCTTCCACCCAGCTGGCTTTAACGGTAGCATACGTCGTGGGTGCTGTCACCTGCCTCACCTAACTTCCACCCAGGTGGCTTTAATGGCAGCTTATGTTGTGAGTATTGTTACCTGCTCCACCTGCCTTCCACCCAGCTGGCTTTAATGGTAGCATGGGTGATTTTTGTATCCGGGTTCAGTGTTGTATACTCATCAAAATATGCATGTGTCTTTGTAATCAGCATAACCTCGAAATAAGCTCTTTATTTCTAATACCGTCGATGAGGTAATCTGTAACAATACTTGACCAAATACTACGACAATACTTGTCCTTTCACAAGGACAATCATTATTGTAGTGTTTGCTTAAAAACTTTTCAATAGTAACGCGTCGAGATACATGTAAGTAATTACTCGCTTAGGACACATCAAAGTCACTTTGGCAACAACTGAGTGTGTAAAGGTAGAAAATTGAAATTGAACGTAAATAAGAGTAAGGTGATGAAGGTATCAAACGATTTAGATAAAGAAAAAATTGGATATCACATTGGAGAGAGGGAGTATGGAAGAAGTGAATGTTTTCAGATATTTGGGAGTTGACTTGTCATCGGATTGGTTTATGAAGGATGAGGTTAACCATAGAATTGATGAAGGAAAAAAGGTGAGTGGTGCGATGAGGTATCTGTGGAGACCAAAAAAATGTTATCCATTGAAGCAAAGAAGGGAATGTAAATGCTACAGCAAGGAGATGTCCTGTCTGAGGGCAATGTGTGGTGTAAATATTATGAAGAGAATTCGTAGTGTGGAAATTAGGAGGTGTGGTTACTAAAAGTATTAGTCAGAGGGCTGAAGAGGGGTTGTTCAGGTGGTTTGGACATTTAGAGAGAATAGAACAAATTAGAATGACTTGGAGAGCATATAAATCTGTAGGGGAAGGAAGGCAGGGTAAGGGTCGTCCTCGAAAAGGTTGGAGGGAGGAGGTAAAGGAGGTTTTGTGGGCGAGGGCCTTGGACTTCCAGCAAGCGTGCGTGAGCGTGTTAGATAGGAATGAATGGAAACTAGTGGTTTTGGGACCTGACGAGCTGTTGGAGTGTGGCCAGGGTAATATTTTGTGAAGGGATTCAGGGAAACCGGTTAACCGGCTTGAGTCCTGGAAATGAGAAGTACAATTCCTGCACTATAAAGGAGGAGTTTGGGATATTGGCAGTTTGGGGGACTTCTAAACTGTCGTATCTGAGCACCTCTGCGAAGACAGTGATTATGTATGAGTGATGGTGAAAGTGTTGAATGATGAAAGTTTTTTCTTTCTTTTTGGGTTTTACTTTCTTTTTGGGTCACGGGCAACCTGAATTTTTTTGTAGCATGGATTCAACATGGTATTGAAAATATTTCTTAGAGATTCTGGTCCATGTTGACGTGATAGCATCACGGTGTCCGCAAATTTGTCAGCTGGACATTGATGCTTTAAATCTCCTGCTTTACCAAATCCGGAAGGAGTGAGATATGGTGACCGTGTAGGCTACTGAAGTACACTGAGATGACATATGCTTCATGATATGGCGTGTTATCCTGTTGGAAATAGCCACGGGGAAGATGGGCAGACTGTGGCCATAAAGGTATGCACATGATCAGCAGCAGTTCTCGGATAGGCTAAAACATTTCATCGATGCTTAGTTTGTCAAGAAATCATTCCCCATACCAGTACTCCACCACCAGTAGCCTGAACCGTTGATACAAGGCATGATGTGTCCCATGGATTTATGTTACCCAAAATTCTGACCCTACTATATGCATGTCGCAGCAGAAATCACGATTCCTCAGACTATGCTAAATCGGTACACCTCGCAGAAACAAGCGGAAGAATATACAGAAAAATCGCAACGAAGAGGATTTGAACCCACGTCTTGACTGACCGCGAGTGTGGCTTGGCTGCCTACATGACGCTTGTTTCTGCCAGGTGCACGATCGTGGGCCAGAACACACAAGAGAAGAATGAAATACCTGAAGACTATGCTTGAGGTTCACTGGTGTACTCAGCACTAGGAAGACTATGCTTGAGGTTCACTGGTGTACTCAGCACTAGGAAGACTATGCTTGAGGTTCACTGGTGTACTCAGCACTAGGAAGACTATGCTTGAGGTTCACTGGTGTACTCAGCACTAGGAAGACTATGCTTGAGGTTTACTGGTGTACTCAGCACTAGGGAAAACCATGCTTGAGGTTCACTGGTGTATCAGCACTAGGAAGACTATGCTTGAGGTTCACTGGTGTACTCAGCACTAAGAAGACTATGCTTGAGGTTCACTGGTGTACTCAGCACTAAAATGACTATGCTTGAGGTTCACTGGTGTACTCAGCACTAGGAAGACCATGCTTGAGGTTCACTGGTGTACTCAGCACTAGGAAGACTATGCTTGAGGTTCACTGGTGTACTCAGCACTAGGAAGACCATGCTTGAGGTTCACTGGTGTACTCAGCACTAGGAAGACCATGCTTGAGGTTCACTGGTGTACTCAGCACTAAGAAGACTATGCTTGAGGTTCACTGATGTACTCAGCACTAGGAAGACCATGCTAGAGGTTCACTGGTGTACTCAGCAATAGGAAGACCATGCTTGAGGTTCACTGGTGTACTCAGCACTAGGAAGACCATGCTTGAGGTTCACCGGTGTACTCAGCACTAAGAAGACTATGCTTGAGGTTCACTGGTGTACTCAGCACTAGGAAGACCATGCTTGAGGTTCACTGGTGTACTCAGCACTAAGAAGACTATGCTTGAGGTTCACTGGTGTACTCAGCACTAAGAAGACTATGCTTGAGGTTCACTGGTGTACTCAGCACTAGAAAGACCATGCTTGAGGTTCACTGGTGTACTCAGCACTAGGAAGACTATGCTTGAGGTTCACAGGTGTACTCAGCACTAGGAAGACCATGCTTGAGGTTCACTGGTGTACTCAGCACTAGGAAAACTATGCTTGAGGTTCACTGGTGTACTCAGCACTAGGAAGACCATGCTTGAGGTTCACTGGTGTACTCAGCACTAGGAAGACCATGCTTGAGGTTCACTGGTGTACTCAACTCAGCACTAGGAAGACCATGCTTGAGGTTCACTGGTGTACTCAGCACTAGGAAGACTATGCTTGAGGTTCACTGGTGTACTCAGCACTAGGAAGACTATGCTTGAGGTTCACTGGTGTACTCAGCACTAGGAAGAAACATGGCCTGCAAGCTTCTTAACATTTTAAGCTATCTATAGATTAGTGGTTGAAGGAGTCATGGTGGAAGCTAAGCCATACTTGTGGACAGTGTCAAAACGTGGGTCCAAATACTGTTGGCTGCAATCTTTCTGTGTATACTTGTTTGTTTGTGTGTGTGTGTGTGTGTGTGTGTGTGTGTGTGTGTGTGTGTGTGTGTGTGTGTGTGTACAAACAAGATAACCACAGAAGCAGATTATATCACCTAAACATCCCGGAGTGTTGTCTTACATGCAGTGTTGGTTATCATCTGCTTTGTTTCGTACAGGGTGCATACGAGTACCCAGTGGGTTGCCGTGACCCAACACAGCTCAACCCTCGTCAGGTGTTATACCATTACTGGGCACGGTGGGGCAAGTGGTACAAGTACCAGCCCCTCGACCACATCAGGGAGTACTTCGGTGAGAAGATCGGCATCTACTTTGCCTGGCTGGGTGAGTTAGCACTGTTATACATACTACACTTAACTCTTCAACTCTCATTATCTAAGCCATCTCATTATAAATCTTTAATCTCAATCTCTCTCTCTCTCTCTCTCTCTCTCTCTCTCTTTTTTTACACAGGGTTTGACAAGGTTAAGGATCCCTAGCTTTATTGACAGCTATTTACAGGTTAAGGATTCCTAACTTTATTGACAAGCTAAGAGCTGTTACCTAAATCAGCTCATTTGAAAGCATTTTTATTGTTATGAGACATACAAGTAGGGAACAGGATGAAGTTGGAGCCATCTGTGGGCCAGCATTTTCATTTGATCAACTGACTTTATCTCGTTGACATCATTATGCTGTACAAATGTGCTCCATACTCGAGTCATCCTGGGTATGTATGATCTCAGATGGAGTGATGTTCTGGAGAAGGGTACAGCCAGAGTGAAGTTGCTGCTTTCTGCCCGTCTTGTGGCATAAAAGCTTGTTTCACGCTGTCCTCGAAGTGGATCCAAGTGTGGTATTTTGACAATATTGGCCTTGTACATAACAGTAAGGCCACCCACATCCCTCATATGTTGAAGGCTCTGCTGAAATGACAGATCTATCCAGGATGGGTCCAGGCGAGAGATGAGACGTCTTGCTCTGTTCTCTACTCTGTCAAGCAGTCGCAGATGAGAGGGGGGAGGCAGGCAAACCAAGAAAGTGGAGCATACTCAAGGTGTGAGCGTACTTGTGCCTCGTACAGGATCTTGCAACCCTACTGTCAAGCAGATGCGAGATACGGCGAAGTGCTGTAAGCTTCCTGGCTGCCTTGTTTGCAAGATTTACAACATGGTTCTTCATGGTTAGTTTGGAGTCAGATTTCACTCCAAGGATATCAACTTCTTCTCCAGGTGCCAACATCCTCCCATTCATCCTTACTACTGCACCAGCATTACCATCATGGTGCCTAGAGACGATCATCATTTGCGTTTTCTCTGGTGCAAATGTTACTTGCCATCTATTTCCCCAAGCTGATATAGCTCTCAGCTGGTGATTGATGTAGCTTAGAGCAGCTGGCATTTCTTCTCTTGGATAAGTGAATGTCAGTGTACAGTCGTCTGCATATGCATGTGATTCTGGGATGAGATGAAGAAGGTCGTTGAAGTAGACATTCCATAACAATGGACCCAGCACGCTTCCTTGTGGAACACTTGCCCCAATAGGATGCCTTGCTGATTCCGTTCCATTGAGGACTACACTTAGAGATCTACCATGAAGGTAATCACTGAGGAGACATAGCGTAGAGCCTGCAATTCCCCAGTGCTTGAAGTTTTGCTAAGAGGCCCTGGTGCCACACCCGGTCGAAAGCGCCAGCAATGTCCAGTGCTACCACACAGCTGACTTTGGATTCATCCAGTGACTGGTGCCACTTAGTGGAGAGGTTTAACAACAGATCAGCAGCAGAGTAACCTTTCCTGAAGCCATATTGACGATCACAAAGTAGTGAGTGGTAGTCAAAAAACTCTGTCATTTGTCTTGAGATTATTGTCTCAAGGATCTTACCAGTGATTGACAGGAGTGAACACTGGTCTGTAGTTGCTGATTTCTGCTCTGCTCTTCTTTTTGTGAACAGGGACTACATTTGCCTCTTTCCATAGAGAGGGCCATTTACACTGTACTAGGCAGTGCTGAAAGATGCGAGTTAGAGGTGCTGCTAGCTGGTCTGCACATCTTCTCAACAATCTTGGGCTCAACTTGTCTGGGCCCACAGCCTTTTCTTGGTCAAGCGATTTAAGAAGGAAATGCACCTCCTCCTGCCTTATTGTCACCACTGACAGTTTTGACACAGTTCTTACAGCTAGCCAAGGAGGGTCCCTTGCTGGATCAGGAACTTGCATTTTGGTAGCAAAGTGTTCAGCAAAGAGGTCCGCCTTCTCTTGACTACTAGTAGAGGTGGTCCCATCCTGTCGATTTAGAGGTGGAATAAGTTCATCAGGCAGATAACCTTGTCTGTCCTTGACCAGGGACCACTAGGTTTTGGAGCCTACCCTACCTGATGCTAACTTTCTTTTAGTGTCCACCTCCCATTTAGCAATGGCCCACTTTTGAACATCACCCATATGCCTACAGGCTTGCATGTGCAAGTTCCTGTTATAGGTGGTAGGATGTCTCTTATACCTTCCCCATGCTTTGTACTTAGCAGTAGTAGCCTCTCTACAACGAAAGCCAAACCAAGGCTGATCTGTAGGCTTCGTCACATATTGCCGGTGAGGAATGTGTTCTTGTTGTACATTAAGGATGTGTCCAGTGAAGGCTTTCACTTGGTTGTCAACATCCCCTTGGAGAAGAGCATTCCAGTCGGTGGTGGCGAGCTCAGAGCAAAGGGCTGGCCAATTACCTCTGTGTATTATACAAGATACAATACTCTGTGTATTATACAAGATACAATACTCTGTGTATTATACAAGATACAATACTCTGTGTATTATACAAGATACAATACTCTGTGTATTATACAATATATGTAAAGTAAAAGGACACAAGTGCAACTAATGTGACATTTTATTGTGGCAACGTTTCGCTCTCCAGGAGCTTTATCAAGCCATTACGTAATGGTTTGATAAAGCTCCTGGAGAGCGAAACGTTGCCACAATAAAATGTCACATTAGTTGCACTTGTGTCCTTTTACTTTACATATTGTCGGTAATTCTACCAACTTTATTACTATTATACAATATACAATACTCTGTGTATTATACAAGATACCATACTCTGTGTACTATACAAGATACAATACTCTGTGTATTATACAAGATACAATACTCTGTGTGTGTATTATACAAGATACAATACTCTGTGTGTGTGTTATACAAGATACAATACTCTGTGTGTGTATTATACAAGATACAATACTCTGTGTATTATACAAGATACAATACTCTGTGTGTGTGTTATACAAGATACAATACTCTGTGTATTATACAAGATACAATACTCTGTGTATTATACAAGATACAATACTCTGTGTATTATACAAGATACAATACTCTGTGCATTATACAAGATACAATACTCTGTGTATTATACAAGATACAATACTCTGTGTATTACACAAGATACAATACTCTGTGTATTACACAAGATACAATACTCTGTGTATTATACAAGATACAATACTCTGTGTATTATACAAGATACAATATTTTTTTTTATTATCACACTGGCCGATTCCCACCAAGGCAGGGTGGCCCGAAAAAGAAAAACTTTCACCATCATTCACTCCATCACTGTCTTGCCAGAAGGGTGCTTTACACTACAGTTTTAAACTGCAACATCAACACCCCTCCTTCAGAGTGCAGGCACTGTACTTCCCATCTCCAGGACTCAAGTCCGGCCTGCCGGTTTCCCTGAATCCCTTCATAAATGTTACTTTGCTCACACTCCAACAGCACGTCAAGTATTAAAAACCATTTGTCTCCATTCACTCCTATCAAACACGCTCACGCATGCCTGCTGGAAGTCCAAGCCCCTCGCACACAAAACCTCCTTTACCCCCTCCCTCCAACCCTTCCTAGGCCGACCCCTACCCCGCCTTCCTTCCACTACAGACTGATACACTCTTGAAGTCATTCTGTTTCGCTCCATTCTCTCTACATGTCCGAACCACCTCAACAACCCTTCCTCAGCCCTCTGGACAACAGTTTTGGTAATCCCGCACCTCCTCCTAACTTCCAAACTACGAATTCTCTGCATTATATTCACACCACACATTGCCCTCAGACATGACATCTCCACTGCCTCCAGCCTTCTCCTCGCTGCAACATTCATCACCCACGCTTCACACCCATATAAGAGCGTTGGTAAAACTATACTCTCATACATTCCCCTCTTTGCCTCCAAGGACAAAGTTCTTTGTCTCCACAGACTCCTAAGTGCACCACTCACTCTTTTTCCCTCATCAATTCTATGATTCACCTCATCTTTCATAGACCCATCCGCTGACACGTCCACTCCCAAATATCTGAATACGTTCACCTCCTCCATACTCTCTCCCTCCAATCTGATATTCAATCTTTCATCACCTAATCTTTTTGTTATCCTCATAACCTTACTCTTTCCCGTATTCACCTTTAATTTTCTTCTTTTGCACACCCTACCAAATTCATCCACCAATCTCTGCAGCTTCTCTTCAGAATCTCCCAAAAGCACAGTGTCATCAGCAAAGAGCAGCTGTGACAACTCCCACTTTGTGTGTGATTCTTTATCTTTTAACTCCACGCCTCTTGCCAAGACCCTCGCATTTACTTCTCTTACAACCCCATCTATAAATATATTAAACAACCACGGTGACATCACACATCCTTGTCTAAGGCCTACTTTTACTGGGAAAAAATTTCCCTCTTTCATACATACTCTAACTTGAGCCTCACTATCCTCGTAAAAACTCTTCACTGCTTTCAGTAACCTACCTCCTACACCATACACCTGCAACATCTGCCACATTGCCCCCCTATCCACCCTGTCATACGCCTTTTCCAAATCCATAAATGCTACAAAGACCTCTTTAGCCTTATTTAAATACTGTTCACTTATATGTTTCACTGTAAACACCTGGTCCACACACCCCCTACCTTTCCTAAAGCCTCCTTGTTCATCTGCTATCCTATTCTCCGTCTTACTCTTAATTCTTTCAATTATAACTCTACCATACACTTTACCAGGTACACTCAACAGACTTATCCCCTATAATTTTTGCACTCTCTTTTATCCCTTTGCCTTTATACAAAGGAACTATGCATGCTCTCTGCCAATCACTAGGTACCTTACCCTCTTCCATACATTTATTAAATAATTGCACCAACCACTCCAAAACTATATCCCCCTGCTTTTAACATTTCTATCTTTATCCCATCAATCCCGGCTGCCTTACCCCCTTTCATTTTACTACTGCCTCACGAACTTCCCCCACACTCACAACTGGCTCTTCCTCACTCCTACAAGATGTTATTCCTCCTTGCCCTATACACGAAATCACAGCTTCCCTATCTTCATCAACATTTAACAATTCCTCAAAATATTCCTCCATCTTCCCAATACCTCTAACTCTCCATTTAATAACTCTCCTCTCATATTTTTAACTGACAAATCCATTTGTTCTCTAGGCTTTCTTAACTTGTTAATCTCACTCCAAAACTTTTTCTTATTTTCAACAAAATTTGTTGATAACATCTCACCCACTCTCTCATTTGCTCTCTTTTTACATTGCTTCACCACTCTCTTAACCTCTCTTTTTTCTCCATATACTCTTCCCTCCTTGCATCACTTCTACTTTGTAAAAACTTCTCATATGCTAACTTTTTCTCCCTTACTACTCTCTTTACATCTCATTCCACCAATCGCTCCTCTTCCCTCCTGCACCCACTTTCCTGTAACCACAAACTTCAGCTGAACACTCTAACACTACATTTTTAAACCTACCCCATACCTCTTCGACCCCATTGCCTATGCTCTCATTAGCCCATCTATCCTCCAATAGCTGTTTATATCTTTCCCTAACTGCCTCCTCTTTTAGTTTATAAACCTTCACCTCTCTCTTCCCTGATGCTTCTATTCTCCTTGTATCCCATCTACCTTTTACTCTCAGTGTAGCTACAACTAGAAAGTGATCTGATATATCTGTGGTCCCTCTATAAACATGTACATCCTGAAGTCTACTCAACAGTCTTTTATCTACCAATACATAATCCAACAAACTACTGTCATTTCGCCCTACATCATATCGTGTATACTTATTTATCCTCTTTTTCTTAAAATATGTATTACCTATAACTAAACCCCTTTCTATACAAAGTTCAATCAAAGGGCTCCCATTATCATTTACACCTGGCACCCCAAACTTACCTACCACACCCTCTCTAAAAGTTTCTCCTACTTTAGCATTCAGGTCCCCTACCACAATTACTCTCTCACTTGGTTCAAAGGCTCCTATACATTCACTTAACATCTCCCAAAATCTCTCTCTCTCCTCTGCATTCCTCTCTTCTCCAGGTGCATACACGCTTATTATGACCCACTTCTCGCATCCAACCTTTACTTTAATCCACATAATTCTTGAATTTACACATTCATATTCTCTTTTCTCCTTCCATAACTGATCATTTAACATTACTGCTACCCCCTTCCTTTGCTCTAACTCTCTCAGATACTCCAGATTTAATCCCATTTATTTCCCCCCACTGAAACTCTCCTACCCCCTTCAGCTTTGTTTCGCTTAGGGCCAGGACATCCAACTTCTTTTCATTCATAACATCAGCAATCATCTGTTTCTTGTCATCCGCACTACATCCACGCACATTTAAGCATCCCAGTTTTATAAAGTTTTTCTTCTTCTCTTTTTTAGTAAATGTATACAGGAGAAGGGGTTACTAGCCCATTGCTCCGGCATTTTAGTCGCCTCATACGACACGCATGGCTTACGGAGGAAAGATTCTTTTCCACTTCCCCATGGACAATAGAAGAAATAAAAAAGAACAAGAGCTATTTAGAAAAAGGAGAAAAACCTAGATGTATGTATATATATATATGCATGTGCGTGTCTGTGAAGTGTGACCAAAGTGTAAGTAGGAGTAGCAAGATATCCCTGTTATCTAGCGTGTTTATGAGACAGAAAAAGAAACCAGCATCCTACCATCATGCAAAACAGTTACAGGTTTTTGTTTCACAGTCATCTGGCAGGACGGTAGTACTTCCCTGGGTGGTTGCTGTCTACCAACCTACTACCTATAAGATACAATACTCTGTGTATTACACAAGATACAATACTCTGTGTATTACACAAGATACAATACTCTGTGTATTACACAAGATACAATAGTCTGTGTATTATACAAGATACAATACTCTGTGTATAATACAAGATACAATACTCTGTGTATTATACAAGATACAATACTCTGTATATTATACAAGATACAATACTCTGTGTATTATACAAGATACAATACTCTGTGTATAATACAAGATACAATACTCTGTGTATTATACAAGATACAATTCTTTCTGTAACAAATTCCTCAAATATCTTCTCCCGTCAAGAGGAGTGTCCTGGTGCTGCTAAGTACTCTTGATTCTAGGAACTGGAGCTACTCTTGCTCTCCTTATATGAAATATAAATACCTCCCATTCCCATGACCATTATCACTTTAGTGCTTACAGACGAACTTAATAATAATAATAATAACAAGAACAACAACAGCACTAGCAACTACAACAACAGCACTAGCAACTACAACAACAGCACTAGCAACTACAACAACAGTAACATCAATAACAACAACAACAACAACAATAATAATAATAATAGTTATAATAATAATAATAATAATAATAATAATAATAATAGTAATAATAATAATAATAATAATAATAATAATAATAATAATAATAATAAAAAGCAACAACATTAATAACAAACAACAACAACAATAACAATAACAATAATATAATAATTATAATAATATTATTATTGTTATAATAATAATTATTATTATTATTACCATTATAATTATTATTATTATTATTATAATAATTATTATTATTATTACCATTATAATTATTCTTATTATTATTATAATTATTCTTCTTCTTCTTCTTATTATTATTATTATTATTATTATTATTATTATTATTATTAAGTAATAATATTAATACTGTGCAGGTTTGTACACTGGCTGGTTATTACCAGCAGCGTTAGTGGGTCTTCTGGTGTTTCTCTACGGTGTTCTGACCATCAATCAGAACACTCCAGCCAACGAGATCTGTAACCAGCGCGGAGTGTTCAAGATGTGTCCGCTGTGCAACGAGACGCTGGGCTGTGCTTTCTGGGACCTCAATGACATCTGCGTTAACGCCAGAATCTCCTATCTCTTCGACCACCCTGGCACCGTCTTCTACGCTATATTCGTCTCGTTCTGGGGTGCGTCTGGTGTGAATTTCTATTATAATTTGGTTCTTTATGGATAACTAAAGTGTAATGAACACTTGTTAATGTTCAGTAATAACTCACATAAAGAGAGTAAAACAGAAGAACAATTGGCTCTCTATTTTTAGAATGAAGACAGTTCACAGTCGTTCAGCAAAGCTTTTATAGTGACAACGTTTCGCTCTAAGCTGAACGTTATCAGGTTAAGAATTGATTTGATTAAACTCTAATTTTTTCTTCAGTTCCGTCGACAGTAAGCTGCTCCAGTTTGTGGTTCTCTTGACTCATTAACTTTGCTGAGAATGTCAGTATTACATTCTTGTAGCTCTGGTCTAGGGAAGACCAATTAAGCAGAGTCTGTCTTGCGCTTAATAGGTGAAAGATTCATCCTACACCCAATACGGGTTTAGCGCTTCTTAATAATAATAATATAATAATAATAATAATAATAATAATAATAATAATAATAATAATAATAATAATAATAATAATTTTCCCACCTAGTTTATAAGTCCTTTGAAGGAAGGTTGCTGGTGAAGGGCTTTTAATCCAATGAACAGGAGCTGACCCTTGATAAAATTTGATAACCCACTACCCTACGGGTTTAGTGATTCACTGTGAGCTGTATAACATAAGGCAATATAGTGTAATACTACTACAATTTACATAATACAATAAAATATATAATATTATTTAATTTAACATAATGTTATTTAATAGTATATGATATTTTTAGGATACACTAATAATTAATAATGTATTTTGTACAATGGAGAAGCAAGTGAGTTCTGTCCTTGGCAGCTGTGTCGTTCCTGGAATACTGGAAGAGGAAGAGCGCGTCACTGGCGCACCACTGGGATTGTCTGGACTTCCAGGAGGAGGAGGAGCGGCCTCGCCCAGAGTTCGCAGCCAAGGCTCCCTGTCAGGAGAGGAACCCTATTACTGGAGTCCGTGAACCATCCTTCCCTAAGTCCATCAGAACTAAGAGAATCATGGCTGGTGTTGGCCTAATTTTTATTATGGTAATTATTATTATTATTATTATTATTAATACTGTATTATTATTCTTATCATTATTATTTTATTGGAAAACGCTAAATCCGTAAGGGCCATAGTGCATTGGGAATGTGAGACAGTCATATTTGATCTGAGGGAGGGGAGGATAGCTCCAAGTCCTTGTATCGAAAGCCTCTTCACCAGCATCAGGGTCCCTTAATGGGGCAATAAGCGTTAAAAAAATATTATTTTTAACCATAGTCTTGAATATTTTATAAACTGTCCATTCGTTATTTCATGAGCCTAATAGTGTTTTATCCTATGAAGTTTTTTGATGGATCTGTACTGTCAAGGAGTCTAATAACAAATTCAGATTTGCTGCGTAAACTTTATTTTTGGGCAACTCTGGTATTTTGCTTAAATCCAAAATGGCCGCTGATCACAATCCTGAAAATTTTATTTGGAGAATATATAATATATATATATATATATATATATATATATTAATATATATATATATATATATATATATATATATATATATATATATATATATATATATATATTATATATATATATATTTCTTTCATTCAACACACCGGCCGTATCCCACCGAGGTGGGGTGGCCCAAAAGGAAAAACGAAAGTTTCTCTTTTTACATTTAGTAATATATACAGGTGAAGGGGTTACTAGCCCCTTTTTTATGTTATGGTGTAAAGCGATTTTTTTCCAATTCACGGTCAAGATCAGGTGTTTAGAGGTCAGGTCAGGGTGAAATTTAACATCTCGGTGGAAAATGAATGAAAATTTTTACTAAATGGTCACATGTTTTATTCATGCAAAGAAATGGACATACATTTGATGTTTTACACATTTTTTTGTGAGATAAACAGTAATGGGTGACATTTGAAACATATAATCACATTTTAAACAATGATGTGCTATTAGCAAGACCACCCTTAACATCCTCACAGCCATTACTCTCCTCTTTGGAACACTCCTCCTGCATCCACATTCTCCTCTGCATCCTCCTCCTCCGCTTCCTCCATCTCGACATCTTCCTCATCTCCAGACTGAACTTCTTCTCTCTTAGTGTACGGATTGTAACAGCTGTCTTTATCATAGCTTCAATATGACGTACAAGAAAGATGTTCTCTGTGACAGACCACAGTGCTGCACTTCTTGTCCGGTGCCTTACACTGAGAATAAATCAGGTCAGTCAGCTCAGGTGGAACTAGGTCACTTGCAGCAATTAGAAAAGGTGGGACACCATCTTGGATCTTTCATCTCGTGTGAGTGATATCAGCAGACAATGATGGATGTGATCAGATGAGAGAGACTTTCGCCGTGTGACCAAACAATATGGAAGAACAGTTGCTGAATATCCACGATGGCAATGTCAGCAGCTGTTGGTGAGATCTCGAGCACACTAAGGTGCTTGCTAAAAGCTTTTGCTGTTTTTCCGGAGACAACCGTGCTCATTAATGAACGACGGAAGCACTGCGCACCTTTACTTGTGACTTTCTTATTCTGGCAACTGGTGGTTCATCACTGCCCACTAAAGCATCCTTCCTTCCCTTAAAGCTTTGTGACATGTTCCTTCGAGGTGAATGAACAAAGAAAGTTTTTATGAAATTCAAGAATTGCTTGTTCTTCTTCAGTCCAAAGCAGTCTGCATTCTGTTAGTGGTTTCATGGTCATGCTGTTGTATTGCAAACTCCATTACTTTCTTTACTCGCAGCTTGAATGGTTGTCCAGACCTGATGCAAGATGACTTAAGAAATCGTAATGACACGATTGCAATATTTGCAATCGTGTCATTACGATTTCTTAAGTCATGTTGACGGCAGTGAAGGGACTTGAGCTAGAGTTCGTCACGGCCACGCTAGCTGGAGATTCGTCTGTAAAAACTTGCATTTGTGGTCACAGAGGTGCCTGTGCTAACTTTCCTATGGTGTAGAAATATACCTAGTTGGATGAATCTTATTGTGGCTAGCTGGTCTAGTGGCTAACGCGACGGGCTGGAGTTTTGAGACTCTATGACCGCGGGTTCAATTCCGGCCGGGGGTATGGTTTTTCTGATGCAAGATGAGTGAAGGCACTTCCCATCATCAACAGTTATCAGCCATCTCTGACTTCTGGATTACAAATAAGATATAAGAAATAAAGACGATGTTGCCAAATCATATAAGATTTGCATCAACCATCTTGAACTCCTGTATAGGAATTCAAGACTATGTAAGATATAAGAAATAAGGAAATTCTATCCAAATCAGACAAGATTTAAAGAGTATGTTATTTTCAATAAAATGATCTTGTATTTGTGCCTAATTACAATTCTCTATGCATTTTGGGAAAAATTTGACTCCTGTCAGGTAAACTCCAGGTTCCCTGTCGTGGAAACCTGTGAGGTGGTCGACTCTGAGATAATCACCAAGGCCTTGGCTGATGCAAAATTAACCATTCTTTCCTCACGAGACCCCACTGTATCCTCTCTTCCTAGTATGTGATGGGAAGAAGAACCAACAGGGTCCCACTTCCCCATGCACAAAGAGAAATAAACTTACAGAGGGGTAGAGGTTCTCATAGCTAGCGTTCCCCAGGTTATATTGATCCCAGTAGCCTTCTCATCGGCCACAATGCTAGAGGAGAATGGTACCTGCAAAAATAATGGGAGTCAGTGTCTCTTGCCTGGGGTAGGGGGGGGGGTAGGCTATACTGAAATTCTTGGCCTACCCTAAGCAATCAGTGGTTATATAATTCAAGCGAGAAATGTAACTCAACGGGGAAATTTCATTATCTGATCATCTACTGAGCAGATAGCTACTATGACCAACCCTATTTTGGGGTTTCTACTCCGCCCCTGACTATCCCGATCCTGTATAAGTGTGTTTGACTTCACTAGCATCTAGTTTAGAGACATCTATCTCTGGAACGCTCTTGGTGGAGCGCCAAACAAGTATTTTGTGGGTCCAGTGGCATCTTGCACTGTTGACACAGGCACCGATGGTGACACTATTGTGCCAGAAGAAGGCTGCTCCAGAAGAGTCTTCAGCTCTGAGCTGAGGTTCCAATAATTTTTCTTTTATTTACTACCAATTTTGTTCCCTAAGGCAATGACCTAATAATGATTATGCCCTAAAAAATTATTACTATTATTACTATTATTACTATTATTACTATTTAACAATAATTCAAGTTCTCTCTGAATTATCATAAGACCTATATTCCCTGACAAGTTAGTTTAGTCGGATGGTCTTCTAAGTTGTAGAGGAGGAAATTTACTATTATAGGCATCCAATTTAATATTTACTAGCGTATGGTGGAGGATTTGTGTGTACGCGCACAAATTACCACACCTGCGCTCCAGTTATTTTTGACGACATATTGTATTTACACAGTAACGAAAATATCCAAAAGATGATGTAAGGGGCAAGCAAGCTAATTCTGTTCCATTACCTCATTTGAATAAAACACTGCAAAGAGAAAATTATAGACTGGAACATCACTATGTTTAGTACTAAATACACAGGAATTCCAAATAATCTAAAATCTGTTATGTAAAGTGTGTTTCCAAATGCAATTGAAAAAATGAATTTGGAAACACTCTGAAGGCCTTTCACGCGCTGTTAAATTCTGAATGCACCTTTGCATTGTATTAAAAAAATATATCTTGTATGTGTATTTATTTTAATGTTTTGATATGACATGACCCATTAAAGATGAGCTTTGTGTTGTCCTTCCAGATGAGTTTAGTGATCATCTTCATCGTGGCTGTGATCATCTACCGGGTGTTGGTGTCTATACCGCTCTTCCGCAACGACACGCTCAGAGCACAGGTACAGTCGCTCGCTTGTTAATTTCTAGATAGGAAGGGAAAGGCTAACAAGAGTGAAGGAAACTCGCAGGTTTCAGAAGAAGCTTCAGCTGAGTCGTTTCTGTTTGTGTATACATTTACCAAGTCGTGATAAAGCTCCACACAAAGCGAAATGATGCCCCTGTAAGTGTTGTTCTGCAAGCAGTCACTAGCAAGGCCGCAGAAGCTCAGTTCACGGTACATCCTACACAGATCAACATAATAACAGTGTAGCTAGATTTTCCTGTCTATTCATAGTACCTACATATATTTCACTCTACTGTAAAAACGTTCTCTCTCTCTCTCTCTCTCTCTCTCTCTCTCTCTCTCTCTCTCTCTCTCTCTCTCTCTCTCTCTCTCTCTCTCTCTAACTGCAGCATAGTCCGGCCTACTTCCTAGTCCACTTGTATGTTATGTTTCTGTGCTGCCTCTCAGTCTGGGTACAGATACGCAACAAACTAGCCGCCCGTGCAGCAAAAATCTATTCTCTAATAAAGAGATATTTTCTATTTTCTATTAAAATCAAATTATAATAGGTAGAGCTTTATAGTTGTTCATCATATAGAAATTAAGACTGCTTGCTTTCTTTAGTGCGTTTAAAGCCTATCGACTACACGAGGGTTATTAAGGCTGCATGTGAATAATTAATGCGTAAACTAAGGATTAAACTCTTAATATTTATGCACTTTGAGTTACTCACCTCTCAGTGTATGTACACCTTGAGTTACACACCTCTCAGTGTATGTACACTTTGAGTTACACACCTCTCAATGTATGTACACTGTTGAGAACTGGTTTACCAGCTATAAATATAGTATAAATATGCCAGTATAAATATAGTATAAATATGCCAGTATAAATATAGTATAAATATACCAGTATAAATATAGGGGGAACTTAGCTTGGAAATCAGCTACCGCCCACACAGCCGCCCCTGCAGGTGAGGTCTTGAGAAGCTGTCCTGACCACTTTGCAACGGGCTGAAATAAAGTGTATTAGGTATGATTATAAATTACCCCTAGGGGGTGTTATGTCAGCATATATCAGACACTGATGGCTGACAACACTTACTTGTGTGGACTCAAAGGTCCACTTATCACTGGGGCTTATGATAAGTGACTAACTCGTAACTTATCCTCAACTGTACAGTCAATAGTAGTACATCACGAGCTAGTACACTTACCTGGGTATATGTATCTGACCCGTAGTTACGCCCGGATATCCCATGTGGTGATTGAAGAATAGTGTTCTTTAAAGAATGTCGCACTACACTCTGTTGGATCGCAACACTCGTTGTTACACTGTTCATCAATAATTGTTCACACCATAATGTCACTAAAGAAGCTGATCACACTTCTCTGTAAGTGTTTATTGAGATTCTTTTGCGCAAAATGCGCGGAACAGTGTTCTTTGTTGGTTATCCCGGCACGTCAAAAGTAATCTGACCTCACAGCGTCCTTCGCCGCTGCAGTGCCCCTAGAACATAAAGGAAAACCTGACCTAGTGCTTTTTGCTTCCTTGCCAAACTTCCTACATGAAGCAAAGCAGAATGCTTGATTCTTGCTGTCTTAAGCATAGACAACAATGTACACTATCTTTACCATGGTAATAAAGTGGGAGCAGAATTTTCCTTAATTGTCCTGCTAAGGTAAGAGATGGACTGTCTCTTATTAAACTACACTTTGCAACACTGGACTCTTGCAAGGAGCGGCGGTCGCTTGACCACGTCACATACTCGTATTGCATCTGGGATCAATTACTTGCTGTAGCAGTAAACAAGATGTTTGCCCCTTCGGAGAGGGCTGGGCCCCTCAGGGCTGAAAGGGGCTGAAGGGGGATGATACCCCCTCCTGGAGAAAATTTCTCCACATAAACCTTGAGTTACACACCTCTCAGTATATGTACACCTTGAGTTACACACCTCTCAGTGTATGTACACCTTGAGTTACACACCTCTCAGTGTATGTACACCTTGAGTTACACACCTCTCAGTGTATGTACACCTTGAGTTACACACCTCTCATTGTATGTACACCTTGAGTTACACACCTCTCAGTGTATGTACACCTTGAGTTACACACCTCTCATTGTATGTACACCTTGAGTTACACACCTCTCATTGTATGTACACCTTGAGTTACACACCTCTCAGTGTATGTACACCTTGAGTTACACACCTCTCAGTGTATGTACACCTTGAGTTACACACCTCTCAGTGTATGTACACCTTGAGTTACACACCTCTCATTGTATGTACACCTTGAGTTACACACCTCTCATTGTATGTACACCTTGAGTTACACACATCTCATTGTATGTACACCTTGAGTTACACACCTCTCAGTGTATGTACACCTTGAGTTACACACCTCTCATTGTATGTACACTTTCGGTTACACACATCTCATTGTATGTACACCTTGAGTTACACACCTCTCATTGTATGTACACCTTAAGTTACACACATCTCATTGTATGTACACCTTGAGTTACACACCTCTCATTGTATGTACACCTTGAGTTACACACCTCTCATTGTATGTACACCTTGAGTTACACACATCTCAGTGTATGTACACCTTGAGTTACACACCTCTCAGTGTATGTACACCTTGAGTTACACACATCTCAGTGTATGTACACCTTGAGTTACACACATCTCAGTGTATGTACACCTTGAGTTACACACATCTCAGTGTATGTACACCTTGAGTTACACACATCTCAGTGTATGTACACCTTGAGTTACACACCTCTCAGTGTATGTACACCTTGAGTTACACACCTCTCATTGTATGTACACCTTGAGTTACACACCTCTCAGTGTATGTACACCTTGAGTTACACACCTCTCATTGTATGTACACCTTGAGTTACACACCTCTCATTGTATGTACACCTGGAGTTACACACCTCTCAGTGTATGTACACCTTGAGTTACACACCTCTCAGTGTATGTACACCTTGAGTTACACACCTCTCAGTGTATGTACACCTTGAGTTACACACCTCTCATTGTATGTACACCTTGAGTTACACACCTCTCATTGTATGTACACCTTGAGTTACACACATCTCATTGTATGTACACCTTGAGTTACACACATCTCAGTGTATGTACACCTTGAGTTACACACATCTCAGTGTATGTACACCTTGAGTTACACACCTCTCAGTGTATGTACACCTTGAGTTACACACCTCTCATTGTATGTACACCTTCGGTTACACACATCTCATTGTATGTACACCTTGAGTTACACACCTCTCATGGTATGTACACCTTAAGTTACACACATCTCATTGTATGTACACCTTGAGTTACACACCTCTCATTGTATGTACACCTTGAGTTACACACCTCTCATTGTATGTACACCTTGAGTTACACACATCTCAGTGAATGTACACCTTGAGTTACACACCTCTCAGTGTATGTACACCTTGAGTTACACACATCTCAGTGTATGTACACCTTGAGTTACACACATCTCAGTGTATGTACACCTTGAGTTACACACATCTCAGTGTATGTACACCTTGAGTTACACACATCTCAGTGTATGTACACCTTGAGTTACACACCTCTCAGTGTATGTACACCTTGAGTTACACACATCTCAGTGTATGTACACCTTGAGTTACACACCTCTCAGTGTATGTACACCTTGAGTTACACACATCTCAGTGTATGTACACCTTGAGTTACACACATCTCAGTGTATGTACACCTTGAGTTACACACATCTCATTGTATGTACACCTTGAGTTACACACCTCTCAGTGTATGTACACCTTGAGTTACACACATCTCAGTGTATGTACACCTTGAGTTACACACATCTCAGTGTATGTACACCTTGAGTTACACACATCTCAGTGTATGTACACCTTGAGTTACACACCTCTCAGTGTATGTACACCTTGAGTTACACACCTCTCATTGTATGTACACCTTCGGTTACACACATCTCATTGTATGTACACCTTGAGTTACACACCTCTCATTGTATGTACACCTTAAGTTACACACATCTCATTGTATGTACACCTTGAGTTACACACCTCTCATTGTATGTACACCTTGAGTTACACACCTCTCACTGTATGTACACCTTGAGTTACACACCTCTCATTGTATGTACACCTTGAGTTACATCTCATTGTATGTACACCTTGAGTTACACACCTCTCACTGTATGTACACCTTGAGTTACACACATCTCAGTGTATGTACACCTTGAGTTACACACATCTCAGTGTATGTACACCTTGAGTTACACACATCTCAGTGTATGTACACCTTGAGTTGCACACCTCTCAGTATATGTACACCTTGAGTTACGCACATCTCAGTGTATGTACACCTTGAGTTACACACATCTCAGTGTACGTACACCTTGAGTTGCACACCTCTCAGTATATGTACACCTTGAGTTACGCACATCTCAGTGTATGTACACCTTGAGTTACACACATCTCAGTGTATGTACACCTTGAGTTACGCACATCTCAGTGTATGTACACCTTGAGTTACACACTTTTTGATGTATATAACCGAACATTACCACTGATTGTCATTCTTTGTTATGCAGTAATTTAATATTGCATTTCATCACCTGTGTTGTTACACTGATTTATACAGCTAAGTTTCAGTCTTTATTATAGGTCATTTGTGTTGTCTTCAACGTTAATGTGCTAAACGTCTCATAACTGTGGTTAAAAGTATTTGGTATTGAGTACAAATATCTTAACTCTGTTGTAACATAATCACAAGCGACTTTCTTACAGCGAACATTACCTTCACATGTTTCACTAATAATTCTGTAAGAATCTTACTGTTTATATTTAGCTTTTCTTGTGTGAGCTACAGTGGGGATCATCCACAAATTTTTCTGTATTAAGGAAATTTGATTCGTAGCACCTGTTGGTATAGTCAAAGACGATGAGGAAGCTATAAATACCCTCTCATTATTATATAAGATCTGAGGAAATCTCCTTTTGTGGAGAACTAGTTAGATAAGTACACTTTCCAGCATGAAACAAACATAAGTGTTACTTATCTTTTAACATGATCTCCAGCAGCCTCTCCCTGGAAATCACTTCGGGGTACCGTCCCTGTGTCCACAGTGGCTGTTGATTTACAAGTGAGTTATTCCTATAATTTGCCCCTAAGGAGCGTATATCTCAGCATTTTACTATCATCTGAAATGCGTAATGATACTCATTTGGTTTTGGGTGAATCACCGCACCTCGCGGGATCTATTGGTAATTCCAGTCAAATCTCACCTCTACGTATTAGCTGCAGCTAACGTTATTAGATGTGAGTATGCCTGGACTTACCTGGGTATTGTAACTGACTCAATTTCTCGTAATTTGTGGTAGGGGAAGTATATCCCGGTATCGATGTCTTGAGTAGGCTGCTACAGATGCGTAGTTATATACTCACTCATTGATAGGGAGTCACTTCGGTCATTCTTGACGTGATAGGGTGATATCTTGTCCCTTCGTTCATAACACCTGAATGCATACCGCGACACAAACTTGACACTTTATCAGGATTATACCGTGGATTATACACTCGTGTTTCTTTTTAACACTAGTTTCCCCTAGTGGAAATTGATAATATTTCAGAGTTTACTGCACAGAATCATTATTTTCTTTGTTCTCAGCTGGAGGTTTGTGGCGTGTTCATGCTCTGATATCTGAATTCAACCTAGTTTGTCACCCTGCCCAAAGCCCACCAGTTCATCGTCCCCACAAAAGAACTACTGAGTTCAGCTAAATATCTCTTTCTTGCTACACATTGCAACAAGGAATAACACAAGAAGGCTGTTTCCTTCTTGTTTAGCTGTAACTAGAAGTCATAATGTCCTCGACTTGTAGACCAAGTGGGGCGCAGCTTTTCTCTTAATTTTCCTTCTGTAGAGAAAAGAATAATTACTCTGTTTTAACCTCGTCGTGTAGTTGATCAGGAACTCTAGCAAGGAGAGGAAGGTGTACCTCGTGACGCTATGGTACATGCATATTTTCCTCATAAAACTATTTGCGAGGAAGGAAGAGTCCACTAGCCCCTTCCGGGAGGGCTAAGTCCCTCAGAGGGCTGAGGGGGGGGGTGAGAGGGCTGAGAGATACCCCCTTTACTGGAGAATTTTCTCCACACTGAGGGCCGGGCGGAAGTTCACCGTAGGTGAACTATTCATTTCGTAACCACTGGAGAACTGCTTCATTATCACTCCAGATCACAGTTTTTTCAAAGGTGAGATGATCAAGCACTTTGTTGAGATAGACAGCTAATTTTGTACCTGCATAGACTTCTGTCAGTTCCAATTGTGTTACTGTTCTGACACTCAAGGGTCTACCCTGGCCTTTGAAGTAATTAATAAACTTCCTTCACCATTACTTATGTAAGCTACAGCACCATAACCTCTGGTTGACGCATCACAGAACACATGTAATGTGTACTTGTTTCCCTCTTTGCCTATTTGTCTGGGGAATCTAATTTGATGAAGTTGTTTAAGATTCGTAAATATTTCATCCCATGTTTGACTCATTTCTAGAGGCAAGTTCTCATCCCAACCTATTTTGAATTTCCATGCATCTTGCACAAGCATTTTACCTTTTATGGTGATCAGTGAGACGAGTTCTAGAGGATCAGAACATTGTGATACCTCTGACAGTAAACTACGTTTGGTGAGTCTGCTGCAGGATTTATTGTTTTTCCCTTGAGACTCAAAGTGTCTTCGTGTGTGTTCCAGTTAAGTCCCAGCATATTGCTGCAATCAGAAATTTCGGCCTCAGGGAAATCTTCTTTGATAAGTTGAATTAGTGTTTCATATCCTTAGAGGCAAATTTGCTTCCTCAGCCCGGGACAGAGATAAATAATGGAAGGAGTATGATGTAATCAGTCCCTCTCCCTTGAGTCGATGTGTACAGTTCACCTCTTTGTTTTTTCCTCAATATTGATGGACACATCGACTCAAGGCAGAGGTACTGATTACCTGATACTCCTTCATCCACCATTCATCTCTCTCCTGGACTGAGGAAGCCACTTGTTGGCGAAACGTTTCGATAATAAAGTTTCCGAAATGTTGCAATGGGTCTAATTCTGCTATTGCACAATTCTAATAGAAGTAACGCTAAGGGAGACATCACTTAATGTCACTGGAAGATCCACTGTGGAAGACATGACAAAACCATGTTTTTGAGGTGCTTTAACCTCTCAGTGATGCCTAATCCTTTTTTTTCACGTTTATACTTTATAGACACTTCATTTTATAACACAGTTTTATCGCCTGACATGTTTTATTATTCAGTTCGCAAAGTTAGCAGAGAACAAAAATATTTTTTTTTTAACTTAAGAAACGAGACATCCGATAAAACTAAAAAGAGAATTATAAAACAAACATTACGAATCATCAAAAATGAATACATAATGTTCATTAAATTTATTTGCTGTTGTGTAAGATTCATTTACAAACTGCAATAGCTCATTCAGTCAATTGCACCACTGTCCTGAAGCAAGACACTGCAACATCTTGGGATGTTGATACAGCGAATTCTTGAACGCTTGTTTAACCTACAGACATGACCTACTTACACCAGTGGATTTGTCCAGTGGTGACTCCGCCTTCACCTGCTTCTACTCGCCAGACTTCTCCGAGCATATGCTGTACTCTTCTCAAAACTGATGAACTGAATATATCAACTCCATTTGATGTATTCAAACTCCTCCTTAACTTTCTCCGTTCATCTGTGTATTGAACCATAGAAGCCACTGGCTGACGAAACTTTTCCTCGGTTACGATTACTAAATGATGCAAAAGTATCTAATTTTTCAACTTGTCTGTGTAGTAAATCTTTTATATCATCATGCAATAGCTCCCACAGTATTATTCTCATTAGTGTTTAAATGATATTTCCCACAGTGATGCTTGCATTGGTATGGGAGTGACATATCCCAATAGTACTTCCATTGATGTCAAAGGCCAGCTCATTTACCACTTGTTTTCATTTCTGTTTACAGTAACCAGCAACTACCTTCTCTTCCAGGCACAAGCCATCTCCTCTCTGTCAGGAGCCGTAGTCAACTTCATAATCATCATGTGTATGGGCCGAGTCTATGAGAAGCTGGCACACAGACTCACCACCTGGGGTACGACCATCTCTTAATACAACCGTTTATTTCCGTACTTTTTAGATCAACTTCAGTCAATATAAGGAAAGCAATTTAATCGGTAATATACCACTTTCTCATTTACTTATGTTATACGAAAAGAGAAAAGTAACGTTTCCGTATAACTTGACAACCTGATGTAACAGAGCTGAATAAAAAACACGATGAATCACTTTTACCTCTGGTTAAGTTAGGCTAGGTTAAGAGGTGAAGCTTAGCCTTTTGTTAGGTTAGGTTTGGTTAAACAATATCTTACATCTGTTAGTTAGGTTAGTTTAGTTAGGTTCGGCTAAGAAGCGTCTTATACTTGTGCTTGAAGAACGATTTTTTGCCAGAGATGTTCCATAAATATTAAAAACTATTTAGACAGCTACTGTTTACGTAACACTATATTTACATTATCCTCGACCCGCACGACACTGTACTCAACCCCGATTATCCACATTTTTCTTTAAGGTTGTCAGTGCTGTCCCTCACAGTGCTGTCACTCAGTGCTGTCACTCACAGTGCTGTCACTCAGTGCTGTCACTCACAGTGCTGTCCCTCAGAGTGCTGTCCCTCACAGTGCTATCACTCACAGTGCTGTCACTCACAGTGCTGTCACTCACAGTGCTGTCCCTCACAGTCCTGTCACTCACAGTGCTTCCACTCACAGTGCTATCACTCACAGTGCTGTCACTCACAGTGCTTCCACTCACAGTGCTGTCACTCACAGTGCTGTCACTCACAGTGCTGTCACTCACAGTCCTGTCACTCACAGTGCTTCCACTCACAGTGCTGTCACTCACAGTGCTGTCACTCACAGTGCTGTCACTCACAGTGCTTCCACTCACAGTGCTATCACTCACAGTGCTGTCACTCACAGTGCTTCCACTCACAGTGCTGTCACTCACAGTGCTGTCACTCACAGTGCTGTCACTCACAGTGCTGTCACTCACAGTGCTGTCACTCACAGTGCTTCCACTCACAGTGCTATCACTCACAGTGCTGTCACTCACAGTGCTTCCACTCACAGTGCTTCCACTCACAGTGCTGTCACTCACAGTGCTGTCACTCACAGTGCTTCCACTCACAGTGCTATCACTCACAGTGCTGTCACTCACAGTGCTGTCCCTCACAGTGCTGTCACTCACAGTGCTGTCACTCACAGTGCTGTCACTCACAGTGCTGTCACTCACAGTGCTTCCACTCACAGTGCTGTCACTCACAGTGCTGTCCCTCAGAGTGCTGTCCCTCACAGTGCTATCACTCACAGTGCTGTCACTCACAGTGCTGTCACTCACAGTGCTGTCACTCACAGTGCTGTCACTCACAGTGCTGTCACTCACAGGTGCTGTCACTCACAGTGCTATCACTCACAGTGCTGTCACTCACAGTGCTGTCACTCACAGTGCTGTCACTCACAGTGCTTCCACTCACAGTGCTATCACTCACAGTGCTGTCACTCACAGTGCTGTCACTCACAGTGCTGTCACTCACAGTGCTGTCACTCACAGTGCTGTCACTCACAGTGCTGTCACTCACAGTGCTTCACTCACAGTGCTGTCACTCACAGTGCTGTCACTCACAGTGCTTCACTCACAGTGCTGTCACTCACAGTGCTATCACTCACAGTGCTGTCACTCACAGTGCTGTCACTCACAGTGCTGTCACTCACAGTGCTGTCACTCACAGTGCTATCACTCACAGTGCTGTCACTCACAGTGCTGTCACTCTCACAGTGCTGTCACTACACAGTGCTGTCACTCACAGTGCTGTCACTCACAGTGCTGTCACTCACAGTGCTTCCACTCACAGTGCTGTCACTCACAGTGCTGTCCCTCAGAGTGCTGTCCCTCACAGTGCTATCACTCACAGTGCTGTCACTCACAGTGCTGTCACTCACAGTGCTGTCACTCACAGTGCTGTCACTCACAGTGCTGTCACTCACAGTGCTGTCACTCACAGTGCTTCCACTCACAGTGCTGTCACTCACAGTGCTGTCACTCACAGTGCTGTCACTCACAGTGCTTCCACTCACAGTGCTATCACTCACAGTGCTGTCACTCACAGTGCTGTCACTCACAGTCCTGTCACTCACAGTGCTTCCACTCACAGTGCTATCACTCACAGTGCTGTCACTCACAGTGCTGTCACTCACAGTGCTACCACTTAAAGTGCTATCACTCACAGTGCTACCACTTACAGTGCTACCACTCACAGTGCTACCACTTACAGTGGTACCACTCACAGTGCTACCTCTTACAATGCTACCACTCACAGTGCTATCCACTCACAGTGCTTACCACTTCACAGTGCTACCACTCACAGTGCTACCACTCACAGTGCTACCACTTCAGTGCTCCATTACAGTGCTATCACTCACAGTGCTACCACTTACAGTGCTACCACTTACAGTGCTACCACTCACAGTGCTACCACTTACAGTGCTACCACTTACAGCGCTACCACTCACAGTGCTACCACTCACAGTGCTACCACTTACAGTGCTGTCACTCACAGTGCTACCACTTACAGTTCTACCACTCACAGTGCTACCACTTACAGTGCTACCACTCACAGTGCTACCACTCACAGTGCTACCACTTACAGTGCTACCACTTACAGTGCTACCACTTACAGTGCTATCACTCACAGTGCTACCACTTACAGTGCTTCCACTTACAGTGCTGCCACTTACAGTGCTACCACTCACAGTGCTACCACTTACAGTGCTACCACTTACAGTGCTACCACTCACAGTGCTACCACTCACAGTGCTACCACTTACAGCGCTACCACTCACAGTGCTACCACTCACAGTGCTACCACTTACAGTGCTGTCACTCACAGTGCTACCACTTACAGTTCTACCACTCACAGTGCTACCACTCACAGTGCTACCACTTACAGTGCTACCACTTACAGTGCTACCACTCACAGTGCTACCACTCACAGTGCTACCACTTACAGTGCTGCCACTCACAGTGCTACAACTCACAGTTCTACCACTTACAGTGCTACCACTTACAGTGCTACCACTCACAGTGCTACCACTCACAGTGCTACCACTTACAGTGCTACCACTCCCAGTGCTACCACTCACAGTGCTGCCACTTACAGTGCTATCACTCACAATGTTACCACTTACAGTGCTACCACTTACAGTGCTATCACTCACAGTGCTACCACTTACAATACTATCACTCACAGTGCTACCACTTACAGTGCTACCACTCACAGTGCTTCCACTCACAGTGCTACCACTACAGTACTATCACTCACAGTGCTACCACTTGCAGTGCTACCACTCACAGTGCTTCCACTTACAGTGCTTCCACTCATAGTGCTACCACTTACAGTGCTACCACTCACAGTGCTTCCACTTACAGTGCTTCCACTCAGTGCTACCACTTACTGTACTATCACTCACAGTGCTACCACTTACCGTGCTACCACTCACAGTGCTTCCACTCACAGTGCTACCACTTACAGTGTTACCACTTACAGTGCTATCACTCACAGTGCTACCACTTACGGTGTTACCACTTACAGTGCTAGCACTCACAGTGCTTCCACTCACAGTGCTACCACTTACAGTGCTACCACTTACAGTGCTATCACTCACAGTGCTACCACTTACCGTGATACCACTTACAGTGCTATCACTCACAGTGCTACCACTTACCGTGCTACCACTTACAGTGCTATCACTCACAATGCCACCACTTACAGTGCTTCCACTTACAGTGCTATCACTCACAGTGCTACCACTTGCCGTGCTACCACTTACAGTGCTATCACTCACAGTGCTACCACTTACCGTGCTACCATTTACAGTGCTATCACTCACAATGCTACCACTTACAGTGCTACCACTTACAGTGCTATCACTCACAATGCCACCACTTACAGTGCTACCACTTACCGTGCTACCACTCACAGTGCTTCCACTCACAGTGCTACCACTTACAGTGTTACCACTTACAGTGTTACCACTGCTTCACCTACTACACCTTGTTCAAGAACCAGAGCTCAACCTTCATCGTTCACTATTAACTAACCAACATGAAGTATGCTTATTCAGTTCCTTAACTTCAGTAAACTTCTCTTAATTTAAATCTCCTCTAAAAGTTTTTTTTAATAATTATAGAAGTTTTTAAAGTCCAACTAGGAGAAGCTTACATATCTATTAACGTTAGGACCTCCAGCCAAGATTTGTGTATTTATTATTACGGTTTTATCCGCCATATTTACTATTGTTCCTGCTACTTGTATAGGGTGGAATAGAATTTTGGTTAAATTATGGTTTTAGGTTAATCTGCGACACTGTCAGATCCAGCAGAGTAAATACGGTACTTTTTATATATGCAGTATTGTCCTGTTGTATATTATTCTGTATGTTTGTTTATTATATTAAATTGTTCGTCACTGGGCATATTAGTCGCCCCTAACACTGGCAGCATGACTTTCTTAAGCTTATAAACAGGTATTCTCTCTCTCTCTCTCTCTCTCTCTCTCTCTCTCTCTCTCTCTCTCTCTCTCTCTCTCTCTCTCTCTCTCTCTCTCTCTCTCTCGCTCTCTCATTAGTCAACTAATTAACAAAACAGTAATCTCTCCATCAGAGATGCACAGGACGCAGTCAGAGTTCGAGGACAACCTCACCTTCAAGGTCTTCATCTTCCAGTTCGTCAACTTCTATTCCTCCATTTTCTACATCGCTTTCTTCAAGGGTCGTTTCGTCGGGTACCCGGGTCACTACCACCACATTCTTGGTCTCAGAAATGAAGACGTAAGTTCGTATGTTTTATTTTGTTTGCGTAGATTCTGAGGAAGATAAACAAGGTGGGGGTCATGGTTGGTTATGAAAGTTTAGGTGCTAGAACTCAGCTGCTGAAGGAAGTTCATTGGTACTTCATCTATTTAGTTATGGTTCTTCACTTGGTTAGTGCTTCCTGTGACTAGTTCTTTCCATGGAGACTTTTTCACTTGGTTGGTTCTTGTCTGAGTCAGTGTTTTCCCTGGCCAGTTCTTCACTTCTCATGCACTCTGGGGTACAACTTCTCAAGCACTCTGAGGTGCAACTTCTCATGCATTCTGGGGTACAACTTCTCAAGCACTCTGAGGTGCAACTTCTCATGCACTCTGGGGTACAACTTCTCAAGCACTCTGAGGTGCAACTTCTCATGCACTCTGGGGTACAACTTCTCAAGCACTCTGAGGTGCAACTTCTCATGCACTCTGGGGTACAACTTCTCAAGCACTCTGAGGTGCAACTTCTCATGCACTCTGGGGTACAACTTCTCATGCACTCTGAGGTGCAACTTCTCATGCACTCTAGAGTACAACTTGACACTGCTTCATTTTCCTCTACCTCTTCTTTAATCTTTTAGATGCACAAAACTGTTTTTCTCCATTCTTTTTCTTACTGTCAGCCAAATATGTATTTGTCTTAATTTCGTTTTCCGTGTTCCTTCTTCCCTGACTGATAAATTTGTTAGTTATGATTCTCCTCTTCTTGTGTGTGTGTACTCACCTAATTGTACTCACCTAATTGTGGTTGCAGGGGTCGATACTCAGCTCCTGGCCCCGCCTCTTCACTGATCGCTACTAGGTCCTCTCTCTCTCTGCTTTCTGAGCTGTATCATACCTCTTCTTAAAACTATGTATGGTTCCTGCCTCCACTACTTCACTTGCTAGGCTATTCCACTTCCTGACAACTCTATGACTGAAGAAATACTTCCTAACGTCCCTGTGACTCGTCTGAGTCTTCAGCTTCCAGTTGTGACCCCTTGTCCCTGTGTCCCCTCTCTGGAACATCCTATCTCTGTCCACCTTGTCTATTCCCCGCAGTATCTTGTATGTCGTTATCATGTCTCCCCTGGCCCTTCTGTCCTCCAGCGTCGTCAGTCCGATCTCCCTCAACCTTTCCTCGTACGACATTCCCCTGAGCTCTGGGACTAGCCTTGTTGCAAACCTTTGTACTTTCTCTAACTTCTTGACGTGCTAGACCAGGTGTGGGTTCCAGACTGGTGCTGCATACTCCAGTATGGGCCTAACATACACAGTGTACAGTGTCTTGAACGATTCCTTATTAAGGTATCGGAACGCTATTCTCAGGTTTGCCAGGCGCCCGTATGCTGCAGCAGTTATTTGGTTGTGTGCCTCCGGTGATGTGCTCGGTGTTATGGTCACCCCAAGGTCTTTCTCCCTGAGTGAGGTCTGTAGTCTTTGTCCACCTAGCCTATACTCTGTCTGCGGTCTTCTTTGCCCCTCCCCAATCTTCATGACTTTGCATTTGGCTGGATTGAATTCGAGAAGCCAGTTACTGGACCACGTGTCCAGCCTGTCCAGGTCTCTTTGCAGTCCTGCCTCATCCTCATCCGATTTAATTCTTCTCATCAACTTCACATCATCTGCGAACATGGACACTTCAGAGTCTATTCCTTCCATCATGTCGTTCACATATATCAAAAATAGCACTGGTCCTAGAACTGACCCCAGTGGGACCCCGCTCGTCACAGGCGCCCACTGTGATACCTCTTCACGTACCATGACTCGTTGCTGCCTCCCTATCAGGTATTCCCTGATCCATTGCAGTGCCCTCCCTGTTACATGCGCCTGATCCTCCAGCTTCTGCACTAATCTCTTGTGGGGAACTGTGTCAAAGGCCTTCCTGCAGTCTAGGAAAACGCAATCTATTCACCCCTCTCTCTCGTGTCTTACATCTGTTACCTTGTCATAAAACTCCAGGAGGTTTGTGATACAAGATTTGCCTTCCATGAACCCATGCTGGTTTTCATTTATAATCTTGTTCCTTTCCAGGTGTTCGACCACTCTCCTCCTGATAATCTTCTCCATGACTTTGCACACAATACATGTCAAAGACACAGGTCTGTAGTTTAGCGCCTCGTTTCTGTTTCCTTTCTTAAATATGGGGACTACATTAGCTGTCTTCCATTTCTCAGGTAGTTGCCCAGTTTCAAGGGATGTGTTGAAGATTGTGGTTAGAGGCACGCACAGCATCTCTGCTCCTTCTCTAAGGGCCCATGGGGAGATGTCCGGTCCCATCGCCTTTGAGGTGTCAAGGTCACTTAGGAGCTTCTTCACCTCCTCCTCGGTTGTTCGTATGTCATCCAACACTTGTTGGTATATTCCCACTTGATGTTCCCTTCTGTGCTGTCTTCCCACAGCCCTTCCTGTCTCTACTGTAAAAACTTCCTTAAATCTCCTGTTCAGCTCCTCACATACCTCCTGATCATTTCTTGTGAGTTCTCCACCTTCTGTCCTTAATCTGATCACCTGGTCTTTGACTGTTGTCTTCCTCCTGATGTGGCTATACAACAGTTTCGGGTCAGTCTTGATTCTCGATGCTATGTCATTTTCATACTGTCGCTGGGCCCCTCTCCTGACCTGTGCATACTCATTCCTGGCTCTGCGACTGATCTCCCTATTTTCGTGTGTTCTCTGCCTTCTGTACTTTTTCCATTCTCTATTGCACTTTGTTTTTGCCTCCTTACACCGTCGGGTAAACCAGGGGCTCGTTCTGGTCTTCCCGTTGTTACTGTTGTCCTTGGGAATAAACCTTTCCACTGCCTCCTTGCATTTTGTTGCTACATATTCCATCATTTCATTTACTGGCTTTCCTGCCAGTTCTCTGTCCCACTGGACCTCCCACAGGAAGTTCTTCAACCCTATGTAGTCCCCTCTTTTATAGTCAGGCTTTTCCCATTCAACTCTGTTATTCTCTCCACTTGCAGCTCTACTATGTATTCAAAGCACAGAACCACGTGGTCGCTAGCTCCTATGGGACTCTCATGCTTGATGTCCTCAATGTCTGAGCTGCCCAGGGTGAACACAAGGTCCAATCTTGCTGGTTCATCCTCCCCTCTCACTCTGGTAGTGTCCTTAACATGTTGGTGCATGAGGTTTTCCAGCACCACGTCCAACATCCTGGCTCTCCATGTTTCGGGACCCCCATGTGGCTCCAGGTTTTCCCAGTCAATCTCCCTGTGGTTGAAATCCCCCATAACCACCAACTTTGCTCTGCTGGAGTGAGCTCTTCTTGCCACCTCAGCAAGTGTGTCCACCATTGCTCTGTTGCTCTCTTCATATTTCTCTCTTGGCCTCCTGCAGTTCTGTGGTGGATTATACATCACTGCAATGACCACTTTGTGTTCCCCAGACTGAAGTGTACCTGCTATGTAGTCTCTTTCTCCCGTCTCATATATGCCTTCCATTTTCTCGAATTTCCGTCTGTTTTTTTACGAGCAGAGCAACCCACCTCTCCCCCTGCCCCTTCTATGTGTGTGTGTGTGTGTGTGTGTGTGTGTGTGTGTGTGTGTGTGTGTGTGTGTGTGTGTGATCTTACCTTAAATTCCAATGTCTCCAAACTTACAGCAGAGCATTAACAAAGTCAAGAGAAATAATTGCTAAATTTTCTCGAGCTCAGCATAAAGACAGCGGCAGTCACCACATACCTGACTACCATTTACAAGTGACAGTACCTTGTGATGCCACACCTGAATGGCCCTTTGCTCTTCTGTAGATATGTACACTTGTCACAGAATATTTCCTCATTCTTTGTTCATATATATGTATGTATAATGGTCGCACAATGTCCAGCATGTGTTGTCTCACATGCTGGATCCACTTTACAATGTGTGTGAATCAATTTTAAGCAGTGTAAACGTTCGTTTTTACTCTGTTTTTAAAGTTGTGAACTCATATATACAGTAATCGTAATAAATATGCTATATTGACTGTTACCAGAGCTATATTTCAATGATACATCTGAGGCCGCTTTACAGTGTTCAGCTGGTGGTTGTCTGATTGAGCTGGCACAACAGTTGGCTGTCATTATGATTGGCAAACAAGTTGTCAATAATGCCCAGGAGATCCTCGTTCCCAAGGCCAAGGCTTGGTGGCACAAGAAACAGGTAAGAAAGAACTGTGTATGTGTAAGCTGATACTCAAGTAAATGTGTATATTTTTATTTTCAGTTTGACTGTGTTAGAGAAATATAGAGAGAGGAAGAGAGAGATAGAGAGTAAGTGAAAATTTTGCTAAATTAATCAACATAACGTGAAAATTCAAACACACACACAATCTTGAAAAGATTGATGGCTGAGGGACTGATTACCTCAAACTCCTCCTGTTCGTCACGATTCTCCTTTGTATGGACTGATGAAGCCTCTGTGTGGCGAAACGTTTCCTCAGTAAAGATACCCAAGGGTTACACATGTGTCTAATTTATCAAGTGTACACATGTGTACCTTTACAGTCCATGATGTGGTTTTATAAGTGTACACATGTATATCTATACAACCCATGATGTTGTCTTCAAGTGCAAGCTTGCAATACTTCACAGTGGAAGTTGATGTGATCTGATAAGTCATTTATAAACATACATAGTTACTCATTTATTTTGAACACATCATTACAGAAGTTTTAGCATCAAATTTTTCAATCTATACATATTTTGCTCACTCTGACAACGTCGAATGTCAATTTTAGCTAAATATTTTATTTCCCCCGTCATGTTTTGACTCGAGCACCAGCTGAGAGCTTCTCCTCATTACCAGGTGAAGATGACCCACAAAGCCAGGACGAGGTGGGAGGCTGATTACCAGCTCATTGATAACGAAGGTCTTTTCCAGGAGTACCTGGAAATGGGTAAGTATTTTCCTGGCGTATTTACGTAAAATTTAAATAGCTAATTGGGTTTAAAGTTTAGAGACTGTATGGGTACATTAATGCTGCATGTCATCTGTCAGTGATACTTTAATGTATAAAAGAGGAATTAAACTCTCAATATGTTTACTGTATACAGTATGGAACTGACACCTCTCGGTGTATCTAAGCTTGTGTAAAAATGTCGAGAATTTAGAAAGCTAGTGCAATTTAGTAATTTTTTTCTTCTTCTGGCCTGAATGTTGACCTCCAGAAAAGAAGTTAATTAATTTTTTTGTAATTGTGTTTAAATAACAATTTCTTTTTTAATTTTGCATCAAAAGCGACGTAAAAAAACTACTTTAACCTTTCTCAGATTTACGTCAAACAATATTACTTAAGTTACTTAAGCTCTCTAAAAATTTGCACACTCAAATAACCATCCCAGTTTTTCTTAAAGACACAATCCTTCTAGATGGTGGCTGAGTTATACCTCTTGTTTGAGCAACGAGTCACTCTCTTCCACAGTGCTGCAGTTTGGGTTTATCACCATCTTCGTGGCCGCCTTTCCATTAGCTCCACTCTTTGCTCTTCTAAACAACTGGGTGGAGATACGGCTGGATGCGCAGAAGTTTGTGTGTGAAACCAGGCGGGCAGTGTCTGAGCGAGCACAGAACATTGGCATCTGGTTCACCATTCTCGACTTTATGGCCCACCTGGCAGTCATAAGCAATGTAAATAAAAATACTTTAATAATATATATATATATATATATATATATATATATATATATATATATATATATATATATATATATATATATATATATATATATATATATATATATATATAATATTCAAACGGCTTCAGGAAGAAATCCAAATATTCTTCCTTGAAGCCTTTTTATCCACTTCTCCGAGGCTATGGGTCCCACAATTTACACCAGAGGTAGAACCCATTATATATATATATAATTAAATATATATATATATATATATATATATATATATATATATATATATATATATATATATATATATATATATTAGTACTATTATTGTTGAAATATTTATACATAAGCGTTTAGCTTATGTATAAATATGAGCTAACGCAGTATCGAGTCTTCACTACAACCTGCGCTGAAGAACCCAAACGAGTTATTACAACCCAGGAGTCCCAAAGGCCTGTTATCCTGGGTGTAAAGGGAGCAAAATATACACAGCAGAAAAACTTTTGACTTGTATTATCCTTCACCAGTTTAGAACAGAATTATATACACTATATACACTATGTACAACAATAGGTAATAGTGCACTCCACGGTAAGCAAGGCAGAATAGAAGCCACTAGAGAGCAGACTGTGCTTCAACCAGCTCTAGAATGGGAATGACAAGTGCAGACTGGCGGGTGGTACCCACAACACCTCTGTGATTGCCAAAACCATCTTCTCATTGGCTTGAACCTGGGTACTGATTGAACGACGGGGCCCCATCATCAACCCTTAGTACCTGGTTCGCTGGTTGGGGGAGATAGCCTGTCAGAGCGGGTGTGTACATGCGCCGAATAAAGATTACGTACTTTTTTCATGCCACACGAGTTTAGCTCTTACTGTACAGACCATGCCTAGGCAATGCTTGAAGAAAGAGTACTCACTCCAGCACACAGGCTAAATAAAGAGGACTCACTCCAGCACACAGGCTAAATAAAGAGGACTCGCTCCAGCACACAGGCTAAATAAAGAGGACTCGCTCCAGCACACAGGCTAAAGAGGACTCACTCCAGCACACAGGCTAAATAAAGAGGACTCGCTCCAGCACACAGGCTAAAGAAAGATGACTCACTCCAGCACACAGGCTAAAGAGGACTCACTCCAGCACACAGGCTAAAGAAAGAGGACTCGCTCCAGCACACAGGCTAAATAAAGAGGACTCACTCCAGCACACAGGCTAAAGAAAGATGACTCACTCCAGCACACAAGCTAAAGAGGACTCACTCCAGCACACAGGCTGGAAGAAAGGACTGCACAGTTACTGGCTTAGCGAGGAGTGTCCAGGTTATGGGGTGACACATTAAATATAACACGTAACAACCCCGAAACCCCAGTTAAGTCATACTGTTTTTGTACTGTGAAACTAGTGTAGTGATACCGGAAAATTGTAATTAAAAGACGTGTTCATTAATCAAGACATTTTTGATGCAACCGGTTCTTCAGTGTCTTTTTCAGTTCCGAAGGCAGTGGAGCCACGATCCCTTTCTGTAGGTGCTGGAGGATTCCAAGGGACGTAAACAGAATTCTGGTAGGGAACAGGAGTCTGCACATTGTAAATCCCCTCAAGAAAAACTTGGAATTTTATCAGTGTCAGGAACTTTCTTGCGACCGTATGATAATTAATTAGACAATCAAGAGTAATTTAGAGTAAATGTAAACATTAAGTGTCATTAAAAAAACCTTGAATCGGAAAAATGGTTGAAGCATTGTTTACTTACCTGTAAGAAATCTCTACCACGTTCTGAGTTCATTAACTTTAGTGTCTATTGTTTCAACAATATAGTACAATAAACCATACCCCCGGCCGGGATTGAACCCGCGGTCATAGAGTCTCGAAACTCCAGCCCGTCGCGTTAGCCACTAGACCAGCTAGCCACAATAAGATTCATCCAACTAGGTATATTTCTACACCATAGGAAGGTTAGCACAGGCACCTCTGTGACCACAAATGCAAGTTTTTACAGACGAATCTCCAGCTAGCGTGGCCGTGACGAACTCTAGCTCAAGTCCCTTCACTGCCGTCAACATGACTCAAGAAATCGTAATGACACGATTGCAATCGTGTTTGCAATCGTGTCATTACGATTTCTTGAGTCAGTACAATAATATAAGAGTGAGATCACTCAGACGGCCAAGCAAGTGTCTTTGATGCGCTGACTCAGGTGTCTCATCAAAGACGCTTGGATGACCCAAAATTGCGCACGGAAGCAGTAATCGTATAATAAAACCGCTTGTGTCTGACTTTATTAGAATCAAAATGTCAGGTAATTGAGGAAGATGATAGCAGATCAAAGACACTTGAGACGAGCAGCTTGAACTTCGAGTGGAAAAATCTCAGAGAAACCAAGAAATAACCCTGGATACTCCAGTGACTTATTTCCACATTAATAAAACACAATGTGCCTACGCAAAAATAAACCTGAACTTGATTCCTGGAAAGTACTATTAAAATGAGTTCTCGGTATTGAAAACGATCAGATAAACTACGATACCGGTTAAAGGTATGTCATAAGCATAACGTAATATGAAGTGTGATCAGTTTCCAGAATGTCTTGATAAATGCACCTGGAACTTTGGCATCAGAGAATTAATCTAACATTATTTTTACAAACCATACCACGGGCGGGATTTGAACCCGCGGTCAGAGAGTCTCAAAACTCCAGACCGTCGCGTTAGCCACTGGACCAGCTAGCCACAATAAGATTCGTCCAACTAGGTATATTTCTACACCATAGGAAGGTTAGCATAGGCACCACTGTGACCAGTGGCTAATGTGACGGTCTGGAGTTTTGAGACTCTCTGACCGCGGGTTCAAATCCCGCCCGTGGTATGGTTTGTTTGCAATTGTGTTATTACGATTTCGTGAGTCATTCTTTTTACCTTACAGTAAGGTATATGGAAAGTTAAAAATCTTAGTGAGGTTTTTTTTCTGCTGAGATATATTTGCATTGTCATGTTAAAAAATCTATAGTTTATTATAATTATGCTGCACAAGCTACTTGATATAAAATATTTTCACATTACTGTATGCACCGCATTGTATTCTTGTCTTTTCAAGGGATAGGTGCCTTGTTGTTAGTGAAAAGCTCTTGATGTAAGGAACTGGAGCTACCCTCCCTTTCTTTGAGTCGTACCTCCCATTCCCTAGGTGCTAGGTGCGTCCCCATTAATGTAAATAATGAAAATTATATCTTTTCCAATACCAGGAAAAATGTAATCTAAAATTAATGTGATTTCCCGGCAGGCGTTCCTGATTGCCTTCACCTCGGAGTTCCTGCCTCGTCTACTGTACAAGTATGAGTACGACTGGTCACTCAGAGGCTATGTTAACTTCACTCTGGCCAAGGCTCCTAACAATACTCTCAGTGAGGAGTGTAGGTAAGTCTTCCCATCCTCCCTCTCCTCATATATATATATATATATATATATATATATATATATATATATATATATATATATATATATATATATATTATTGTAACCACGAACAAGTGGTATTGATCAATAACAACACTGCGCTAGCCAAGGATTCGAACCCTTGCTGTACTGGCCTGCCTCATGGTAAGCGAGAACCACATGACGCTTTAAACCACAGGACCACCCAACCCTACAAGAATGGTGCAGCCAGCACACTGCTAGCTGTTGGGCCACCATCCGAGGGCATATGGAGGTGTGGGAGCTTCTATCACCTTGTCGCAAAACTCCAGTAGGTTTGTGACAGGATTTCCCTTCCCCGAAACCGTGCACAAAATGCGTGATAAAGGAATAACAGGAATAATTGGTAGATGGATCTATAACTTACTGACAAATAGAATACAAAGAGTAATAGTAAACAGAGTAAAGTCTGAGGCAGCTACGGACAGACAGAGATGTAAGCCATAGCTCTCTGTCTTCCTTTGCGGATGACACCCAAATTGTCATGTCAGTGACCTCCATCGAAGACACTGCAAGACTCCAAGCGGACATCAACCAAATCTTCAAATACGTAGGCCACTGAAAACAATATGAAGTTCAATGAAGAGAAATTTCAACTACTCAGATACAGTAGCTACAAAATAATGTGAAGGACCTGGGAGTGATAATGTCAGAGGATCTCGCCTTCAAAGACCACAATAATGTATCTACCTCATTGCTAGGAAAATGGTAGGATGGATAATGAGAACCTTCAAAACTAGGGATGCTAAGCCCATGATGATTTTCTTCAAATCGCTTGTTCTCTCTAGGCTGAAATACTGCTGTACGCTAACTGCCCCCTTCAAGGCAGGCTAAATTGCTAATCTGGAGAGTGTTTACCTGGAGTTTACCTGGAGAGAGTTCCGGGGGTCGACGCCCCCGCGGCCCGGTCTGTGACCAGGCCTCCTGGTGGGTCAGAGCCTAATCAACCAGGCTGTTGCTGCTGGCTGCACGCAAACCAACGTACGAGCCACAGCCCGGCTGATCAGGAACTGACTTTAGGTGCTTGTCCAGTGCCAGCTTGAAGACTGCCAGGGGTCTGTTGGTAATCCCCCTTATGTGTGCTGGGAGGCAGTTGAACAGTCTCGGGCCCCTGACACTTATTGTATGGACTCTTAACGTGCTAGTGACACCCCTGCTTTTCATTGGGGGGGATGGTGCATCGCCTGCCAAGTCTTTTGCTTTCGTAGTGAGTGATTTTCGTGTGCAAGTTCGGTACTAGTCCCTCTAGGATTTTCCAGGTGTATATAATCATGTATCTCTCCCTCCTGCGTTCCAGGGAATACAGGTTTAGGAACCTCAAGCGCTCCCAGTAATTGAGGTGTTTTATCTCCGTTATGCGCGCCGTGAAAGTTCTCTGTACATTTTCTAGGTCGGCAATTTCACCTGCCTTGAAAGGTGCTGTAAGTGTGCAGCAATATTCCAGCCTAGATAGAACAAGTGACCTGAAGAGTGTCATCATGGGCTTGGCCTCCCTAGTTTTGAAGGTTCTCATTATCCATCCTGTCATTTTTCTAGCAGATGCGATTGATACAATGCTATGGTCCTTGAAGGTGAGATCCTCCGACATGATCACTCCCAGGTCTTTGACGTTGGTGTTTCGCTCTATTTTGTGGCCAGAATTTGTTTTGTACTCTGATGAAGATTTAATTTCTTCATGTTTACCATATCTGAGTAATTGAAATTTCTCATCGTTGAACTTCATATTGTTTTCTGCAGCCCACAGAGAACTTTCACGGCACACATAAGCACGATAAGGCACCTAAATTACTGGAACATGGGAGAGAAAGATACTTGATAATATACACTTGGAAAATCCTAGAGGGATTAGTACCATACTTGCACACGAAAATCACTCCCTATGAAAGCAAAAGACTCAGCACGAGATGCAACATTCCCCCATTGGGCGCCAGGAGTACGGTAAGAGACAACACAATAAGTATCAGGGGCCCAAGACTGTTCAACTGCCTCCCAGCATACATAAGGGGGATTACCAATAGACCCCTGACTGTCTTCAAGCAGGCACTGGACAGGCATCAAAATTCAGTACTTGACCAGCCGGGCTGTGGTTCGTACGTCAGCTTACGTGCGGCCAGCAGTAACAGCCTGGTTGACCAGATCCTGATCCACCACAATGCCTGATCTCAGACCAGGCTGCGGGAGCGTTAACCCCCGAAACTCTCTCCAGGTAGTATAGTAGTGAAGGCATGAACGGCCTAAAAAGCAACAAAGTGCATCTGAACATTAAAATGGTATAAAATACCGACAGGTTGTTAGGTAAGACACATATGCAACAGTTAGGTATCTTTATTTCGAAACGTTTCGCCTACACAGTAGGCTTCTTCAGTCGAGTACAGAAAAGTTGATAGAAGCAGAAGATACTTGAAGACGATGTAATCAGTCCATCACCCTTAAAGTTTTGAGGTGGTCAGTCCCTCAGTCGGGAGAAGAGCATTGTTCCATAGTATGAAACAATATGGAACAATGCTCTTCTCCAGACTGAGGGACTGACCACCTCAAAACTTTAAGGGTGATGGACTGATTACATCGTCTTCAAGTATCTTCTGCTTCTATCAACTTTTCTGTACTCGACTGAAGAAGCCTACTGTGTAGGCGAAACGTTTCGAAATAAAGATACCTAACTGTTGCATATGTGTCTTACCTAACAAAGTGCATCTGCTTACTAACACCTCAAGTCTCGTCTTTCCTTCAAATGTAAACACCAACATTGACGTTTAGATTTTCTCCTTCAGTTAATGTTTAGGATGCATATTAATCACTCTGCCTCCCGAGAATATTCGACTAATTCCTCCACTGGCGTATCCTCCAGTATCCTTAAGTAACTGTAATTAAATGTCGAGTCATGGATGTATTTACCTATGCCTACCCTTCTGGAGACTACGTACCTAAAGAAACTCCCACACCTATCCTTTTTGTTCTCAACTGTAATAGTAAGTCGTTGAAGGTGGAGATATAACCACCTCCACATCTTCCACATCCAAAATTATAGGACTCAACCTTTTAGCGACTTGACATAAATAAACTTCTCATGAGCTGGCACACGACCGGCTGTGGCAGCTCAATAACTCGTCACCTCAGCACCTGGGGAATCATTCTGCCTTGTTTTGTCAAACTCTATACTCTTCTCCCATGCATAAAAATCATTATTCTCCTCCTCCTCCACACTCTCTGTCCAGGATGGACAAAGAATTAAAATAAACTAGAGTAACTAGTACTAATGAAATGTATAATTAAACAACAGACTACAATGCTTTCACCCTCCACCACGACCATGGGCCAAGTCATCAGAACTGTCTACGTGTGGAAGGACTAAGTTTCCTACCAAGGTAAAAACACCCTGAGAAGGAAGTACACTCAGCATTACACATTCAGTAGGTAACTTTACTATATAAGGTTATGTACTCGACAGGTACCGTGGTTACAGGGACTCTGAGGGAAGACACACTCTCTTCTTCTGGCGTCTGCTGGCCATCAGACTGGGATTTGTCATTGTCTTTGAGGTAGGTGCACAATGTAGTCTTGTACTTAATAGAAGGTAAATTACAAATGTAAATAAAGTATTTTTTGACATCTTTCAAGAGGAAAAGGTGTTCAGTCTGATAAAGGGCTCTCGATCCATCGAATTTGAGTTGCACTTCCCTTCCTTGTGTGAGGCCTCACTACCTGCCTTTTCCCAGGCGCTGTGTACCGCGCTGTGAATTTACTTTCTGATGAATATAAGAATGATAATAATAACAACAATTAACTTTTAAACATTTGAAGCCCCGTCACACAAGTTTTAAAATTTTGAAGCCTATTGGAAGAGGCGTTCTCGAGTAATGAGCAAAATAAAAACGAAAAATTTGAAAGAAAAAAATAGGCTTAGATAGTTTTTCGTCTTCACACTAAATGAATTCAAAGGACTTTATTAACAAAATTAATGGAAAACAAATTAATGGGGATATGGTGATTGCAAATTAGCTGAAATTAGCTGATCACAAATTACCTGAAACGGATCTGAATATTCTTGTATCTTATGAGACAGTCTTAAGTCTTAATGAACTGGGTGTTTCCCAGATATATTTTTCTTATGAGGAGGGTTTGTGCAACTAAGTGTACTGAATGAAATGGATTCACCTTTGTCACCTGTGTTATCTAACATTTCAGTGGAATAGTTTGAGAATGAACTTATTGCTGCTGTAGTTGCCGGTGTTGTCTCAATTTCACTCAGTAGAAATATTAAATTTAATGTTAAATATGAAGAAAATATGTAGCCACTATTTTTGGATATCTTAGTGTGTACAAGCGAGTCACAGTTTTTTAGAACATGAGATTGAGTATATTTGCAAAATATACTCAAATTCATATTCTCATATCTCAACTCATTAATTGTTCATTCTTACGTATAAGAATTTGAATCTAAAAATACAATTCTCTGTCATAATGATGTAAATATCATCTTTACCAGGTCGAATTCCATCGAGACATTCGTCTCATAAGGAAAGTTTTCGGAGGACAAGCAGATAAATGCTGGTATTCACAAAATTCCTTGAGCCGACAGTAACAAATGCTACATTGGAAAACAAATGATTTTGAACCATGACTTTACGTCATGGATTCTTGGTACTCGCTGGGGATGATAATGACGATGCAGTATTCTGACGCATAAAAACAGAGAATCGGAAAGATAATTTTAATAATAATTAAATTATGATCAGATGTAACAACACACAGTAAATCAAGAATAGTGAATCGGTAATAAATAAAAATGTTCCTACAAGTTGAAGATTAAGACACAAGTGTAACAGTTGGGTAACTTTATTCATAAAACGTTTTACCTTATCAGTAAAATACTCTGAAGAAGCCTACTGTGCAGGCGAAACGTTTCAACAGTCAAGATACCCAAGTGATGCACATGTGTTTTAATCTTCAAGTCGTCGGTATTCTATAATATTTTCAACATAATGTTGAAAATGTTATAAAAAAAAAGCTTATCTGAAGCATCGACAAATATTAAGATAAACCACCTATCCATTATGCATTTTGTCGTTTATTATATAAGAAATATGGAAAAAACATTCGTCAAACTATCAGGTTAGTTTCTCTACCCTATAGATTGATCAGCCTTAAAATAAGCTGACTGATTCTGAATGCTGTCACTATGCTGGCACACTCTTCCTGTGCACCTGACAAGTTCATTGTATATACAGTGTAAGATCTTCTCTTAATGCTTAGCGGCATTCAGAGGAGAGCCCCAAAAAAGACATTTTCTCCAGTAATTATTTGATTTCATCGATTCAGGTGTTTAGTAATTTCAGTAAATTTCAGATTAACCATGACACTCAACTATGGGACATAGATGTGAAAGTGTGGCCAAGATAGGTTAGAGTAGAAAGAAAGGGGGCCAGACTAGGTTAAATGTAATATATATGGGACCAGGTTAGGTCAAGTACGATGGACATGGGGCCAGCCTTGATTAAGGACGATGGATAGATCACGGTCAGTAGACACCAGAATATTTACATATTTACAAATAAAATCGTCCAAGTTAAAATGTGAACTAATTAATCTTGACGCTCAGAAAGATTTTGAAAGATTTGTTGATTCCTAGTAAAAAATAAATTAACATATGATTCTCCTAATAAGCTTTTTTTAAGTTAATTATAAAACAATTCTTGGCATTACTTTCAGTCGGGACTTTTCCTAGAGTTATCCAACACTCTTCTTGAAAAATAAAAATTTAATACCCGTTTTTTGTCCCTCTTAAGATTTTGTTTTATTAAAATCTTGCAGTTTCCTGACAAAAAAAAATTTAAAACGAAAATTTAAATCTGGACTCTTCTTTCTCAGCATGTTGTGTTCGGTGTGTGTCGACTGATAGACATATTGGTGCCTGATGTTCCCCAGAGTCTGGAGATCAAGATGAAGAGAGAGAGGTACCTAGCTAAGCAGGCTCTGGCTGACTCTGATACCATCATGAAGGTAGGTACCTAGCTAAGCAGGCTCTGGCTGATTCTAATACCATCATGAAGGTAGGTACCTAGCTAAGCAGGCTCTGGTTGACTCTGATACCATCATGAAGGTAGGTATCTAGCTAAGCAGGCTCTGGCTGACTCTGATACCATCATGAAGGTAGGTACCTAGCTAAGCAGGCTCTGGCTGACTCTGATACCATCATGAAGGTAGGTACCTAGCTAAGCAGGCTCTGGTTGACTCTGATACCATCATGAAGGTAGGTACCTAGCTAAGCAGGCTCTGGCTGACTCTGATACCATCATGAAGGTAGGTACCTAGCTAAGCAGGCTCTGGCTGACTCTGATACCATCATGAAGGTAGGTACCTAGCTAAGCAGGCTCTGGCTGACTCTGATACCATCATGAAGGTAGGTACCTAGCTAAGCAGGCTCTGGTTGACTCTGATACCATCATGAAGGTAGGTACCTAGCTAAGCAGGCTCTGGTTGACTCTGATACCATCATGAAGGTAGGTACCTAGCTAAGCAGGCTCTGGCTGACTCTGATACCATCATGAAGGTAGGTACCTAGCTAAGCAAGCTCTGGTTGACTCTGATACCATCATGAAGGTAGGTACCTAGCTAAGCAGGCTCTGGCTGACTCTGATACCATCATGAAGGTAGGTACCTAGCTAAGCAGGCTCTGGTTGACTCTGATACCATCATGAAGGTAGGTATCTAGCTAAGCAGGCTCTGGCTGACTCTGATACCATCATGAAGGTAGGTACCTAGCTAAGCAGGCTCTGGATGACTCTGATACCATCATGAAGGTAGGTACCTAGCTAAGCAGGCTCTGGCTGACTCTGATACCATCATGAAGGTAGGTACCTAGCTAAGCAGGCTCTGGCTGACTCTGATACCATCATGAAGGTAGGTACCTAGCTAAGCAGGCTCTGGCTGACTCTGATACCATCATGAAGGTAGGTACCTAGCTAAGCAGGCTCTGGTTGACTCTGATACCATCATGAAGGTAGGTACCTAGCTAAGCAGGCTCTGGATGACTCTGATACCATCATGAAGGTAGGTACCTAGCTAAGCAGGCTCTGGCTGACTCTGATACCATCATGAAGGTAGGTACCTAGCTAAGCAGGCTCTGGCTGACTCTGATACCATCATGAAGGTAGGTACCTAGCTAAGCAGGCTCTGGTTGACTCTGATACCATCATGAAGGTAGGTATCTAGCTAAGCAGGCTCTGGCTGACTCTGATACCATCATGAAGGTAGGTACCTAGCTAAGCAGGCTCTGGTTGACTCTGATACCATCATGAAGGTAGGTACCTAGCTAAGCAGGCTCTGGATGACTCTGATACCATCATGAAGGTAGGTACCTAGCTAAGCAGGTTCTGGCTGACTCTGATACCATCATGAAGGTAGGTACCTAGCTAAGCAGGCTCTGGTTGACTCTGATACCATCATGAAGGTAGGTACCTAGCTAAGCAGGCTCTGGCTGACTCTGATACCATCATGAAGGTAGGTACCTAGCTAAGCAGGCTCTGGCTGACTCTGATACCATCATGAAGGTAGGTACCTAGCTAAGCAGGCTCTGGATGACTCTGATACCATCATGAAGGTAGGTACCTAGCTAAGCAGGCTCTGGCTGACTCTGATACCATCATGAAGGTAGGTACCTAGCTAAGCAGGCTCTGGCTGACTCTGATACCATCATGAAGGTAGGTACCTAGCTAAGCAGGCTCTGGCTGACTCTGATACCATCATGAAGGTAGGTACCTAGCTAAGGCTCTGGCTGACTCTGATACCATCATGAAGGTAGGTACCTAGCTAAGCAGGCTCTGGCTGACTCTGATACCATCATGAAGGTAGGTACCTAGCTAAGCAGGCTCTGGTTGACTCTGATACCATCATGAAGGTAGGTATCTAGCTAAGCAGGCTCTGGCTGACTCTGATACCATCATGAAGGTAGGTACCTAGCTAAGCAGGCTCTGGTTGACTCTGATACCATCATGAAGGTAGGTACCTAGCTAAGCAGGCTCTGGTTGACTCTGATACCATCATGAAGGTAGGTACCTAGCTAAGCAGGCTCTGGCTGACTCTGATACCATCATGAAGGTAGGTACCTAGCTAAGCAGGCTCTGGTTGACTCTGATACCATCATGAAGGTAGGTACCTAGCTAAGCAGGCTCTGGCTGACTCTGATACCATCATGAAGGTAGGAACCTAGCTAAGCAGGCTCTGGTTGACTCTGATACCATCATGAAGGTAGGTACCTAGCTAAGCAGGCTCTGGCGGACTCTGATACCATCATGAAGGTAGGTACCTAGCTAAGCAGGCTCTGGATGACTCTGATACCATCATGAAGGTAGGTACCTAGCTAAGCAGGCTCTGGCTGACTCTGATACCATCATGAAGGTAGGTACCTAGCTAAGCAGGCTCTGGCTGACTCTGATACCATCATGAAGGTAGGTACCTAGCTAAGCAGGCTCTGGCTGACTCTGATACCATCATGAAGGTAGGTACCTAGCTAAGCAGGCTCTGGTTGACTCTGATACCATCACGAAGGTAGGTACCTAGCTAAGCAGGCTCTGGCTGACTCTGATACCATCATGAAGGTAGGTACCTAGCTAAGCAGGCTCTGGCTGATTCTAATACCATCATGAAGGTAGGTACCTAGCTAAGCAGGCTCTGGTTGACTCTAATACCATCACGAAGGTAGGTACCTAGCTAAGCAGGCTCTGGTTGACTCTAATACCATCACGAAGGTAGGTACCTAGCTAAGCAGGCTCTGGTTGACTCTAATACCATCATGAAGGTAGGTACCTAGCTAAGCAGGCTCTGGTTGACTCTGATACGATCATGAAGGTAGGTACCTAGCTAAGCAGGCTCTGGCTGACTTTGATACCATCATGAAGGTAGGTACCTAGCTAAGCAGGCTCTGGCAGACTCTGATACCATCATGAAGGTAGGTACCTAGCTAAGCAGGCTCTGGTTGACTCTAATACCATCACGAAGGTAGGTACCTAGCTAAGCAGGCTCTGGTTGACTCTGATACCATCATGAAGGTAGGTACCTGGCTAAGCAGGCTCTGGCTGACTCTGATACCATCATGAAGGTAGGTACCTAGCTAAGCAGGCTCTGGTTGACTCTGATACCATCATGAAGGTAGGTACCTAGCTAAGCAGGCTCTGGTTGACTCTAATACCATCACGAAGGTAGGTACCTAGCTAAGCAGGCTCTGGCTGACTCTAATACCACCATGAATGTAGGTACCTAGCTAAGCAGGCTCTGTTTGATTCTGATACCATCATGAAGGTAGGTACCTAGCTAAGCAGGCTCTGGTTGACTCTGATACCATCATAAAGGTAGGTACCTAGCTAAGCAGGCTCTGGTTGACTCTGATACCATCATGAAGGTAGGTACCTAGCTAAGCAGGCTCTGGCTGACTCTGATACCATCATGAAGGTAGGTACCTAGCTAAGCAGGCTCTGGTTGACTCTGATACCATCATGAAGGTAGATACCTAGCTAAGCAGGCTCTGGCTGACTCTGATACCATCATGAAGGTAGGTACCTAGCTAAGCAGGCTCTGGTTGACTCTAATACCATCATGAAGGTAGGTACCTAGCTAAGCAGGCTCTGGCTGACTCTAATACCACCATGAAGGTAGGTACCTAGCTAAGCAGGCTCTGTTTGACTCTGATACCATCATGAAGGCAGGTACCTAGCTAAGCAGGCTCTGGTTGACTCTGATACCATCATGAAGGTAGGTACCTAGCTAAGCGCTCTCTGGTTGACTCTGATACCATCATGAAGGTAGGTACCTAGCTAAGCAGGCTCTGGTTGACTCTGATACCATCATGAAGGTAGGTACCTAGCTAAGCGCTCTCTGGTTGACTCTGATACCATCATGAAGGTAGGTACCTAGCTAAGCAGGCTTTGGCTGACTCTGATACCATCATGAAGTTAGGTACCTAGCTAAGCAGGCTCTGGCTGACTCTGATACCATCATGAAGGTAGGTACCTAGCTAAGCAGACTCTGGTTGACTCTGATACCATCATGAAGGTAGGTACCTAGCTAAGCAGGCTCTGGTTGACTCTGATGCCATCATGAAGGTAGGTACCTAGCTAAGCAGGTTCTGGCTGACTCTGATACCATCTTGAAGATAGGTACCTAGCTAAGCAGGCTCTGGCTGACTTTGATACCATCATCAAGGTAGGTACCTAGCTAAAAAGGCTCTGGCTGACTCTGATACCATCATGACGGTAGGTACCTAGCTAAGCAGGCTCTGGTTGACTCTGATACCATCATGAAGGTAGGTACCTAGCTAAGCAGGCTCTGGCTGACTCTGATACCATCATGAAAGTAGGTACCTAGCTAAGCAGGCTCTGGTTGACTCTGATACCATCATGAAGGTAGGTACCTAGCTAAGCAGGCTCTGGTTGACTCTGATACCATCATGAAGGTAGGTACCTAGCTAAGCAGGCTCTGGTTGACTCTGATACCATCATGAAGGTAGGTACCTAGCTAAGCAGGCTCTGGCTGACTCTGATACCATCATGAAGGTAGGTACCTAGCTAAGCAGGCTCTGGCTGACTCTGATACCATCATGAAGGTAGGTACCTAGCTAAGCAGGCTCTGGTTGACTCTGATACCATCATGAAGGTAGGTACCTAGCTAAGCAGGCTCTGGTTGACTCGGATACCATCATGAAGGTAGGTACCTAGCTAAGCAGGCTCTGGTTGACTCTGATACCATCATGAAGGTAGGTACCTAGCTAAGCAGGCTCTGGATGACTCTGATACCATCATGAAGGTAGGTACCTAGCTAAGCAGGCTCTGGATGACTCTTATACCATCATGAAGGTAGGTACCTAGCTAAGCAGGTTCTGGCTGACTCTGATACCATCTTGAAGATAGGTACCTAGCTAAGCAGGCTCTGGCTGACTTTGATACCCTCATGAAGGTCGGTACCTAGCTAAGCAGGCTCTGGATGACTCTGATACCATCATGAAGGTAGGTACCTAGCTAAGCAGGCTCTAGATAACTCTGATACCATCATGAAGGTAGGTACCTAGCTAAGCAGGCTGTGGATGACTCTGATACCATCATGAAGGTAGGTACCTAGCTAAGCAGGCTGTGGATGACTCTGATACCATCATGAAGGTAGGTACCTAGCTAAGCAGGCTCTGGATGACTCTGATACCATCATGAAGGTAGGTACCTAGCTAAGCAGGCTCTGGATGACTCTGATACCATCTTGAAGATAGGTACCTAGCTAAGCAGGCTCTGGTTGACTCGGATACCATCATGAAGGTAGGTACCTAGCTAAGCAGGCTCTGGCTGACTCTGATACCATCATGAAGGTAGGTACCTAGCTAAGCAGGCTCTGGATGACTCTGATACCATCATGAAGGTAGGTACCTAGCTAACCAGGCTCTGGTTGACTCTGATACCATCTTGAAGATAGGTACCTAGCTAAGCAGGCTCTGGTTGACTCGGATACCATCATGAAGGTAGGTACCTAGCTAAGCAGGCTCTGGCTGACTCTGATACCATCATGAAGGTAGGTACCTAGCTAAGCAGGCTCTGGATGACTCTGATACCATCATGAAGGTAGGTACCTAGCTAAGCAGGCTCTGGTTGACTCTGATACCATCATGAAGGTAGGTACCTAGCTAAGCAGGCTCTGGATGACTCTGATACCATCATGAAGGTAGGTACCTAGCTAAGCAGGCTCTGGATGACTCTGATACCATCATGAAGGTAGGTACCTAGCTAAGCAGGCTCTGGTTGACTCTGATACCATCATGAAGGTAGGTACCTAGCTAAGCAGGCTCTGGTTGACTCTGATACCATCATGAAGGTAGGTACCTAGCTAAGCAGGCTCTGGATGACTCTGATACCATCATGAAGGTAGGTACCTAGCTAAGCAGGCTCTGGTTGACTCTGATACCATCATGAAGGTAGGTACCTAGCTAAGCAGGCTCTGGTTGACTCTGATACCATCATGAAGGTAGGTACCTAGCTAAGCAGGCTCTGGATGACTCTGATACCATCATGAAGGTAGGTACCTAGCTAAGCAGGCTCTGGTTGACTCTGATACCATCATGAAGGTAGGTACCTAGCTAAGCAGGCTCTGGTTGACTCTGATACCATCATGAAGGTAGGTACCTAGCTAAGCAGGCTCTGGTTGACTCTGACACAGTCATGAAGGTTAAATACCTCGTTTAACATATATAACATCATCTCCTATAACAGAATCTTGTATACCAGCATCTCGCTTAACAGCATCTCGTTAAAACCCATCATCGTATTACGTATCTCGCTAACAGCGTCATCCTTTTAAAGCATCTCGTTTTACAGTATCTAGTTTAACAGCATCTCGTTTAAAAGCATCTCGTTTTACAGTATCTAGTTTAACAGCATCTCGTTTAAAAGCATCTCGTTTTATAGCATTTTCAATCTTTTCTACGTGTCATTATCTTCCTATTACTGAACGACTCTCTTTGAAAGATTATCATTCATAATTACATCTCATTTCCCATGTTAATGTTTCTTTCTGTATATTTTGTGTTAAGTATCAAGAATTGAGCCTAAATAGGCAACAGTTAGGCAACTTTATTCCGAAACATTTCGCCTACACAGTAGGCTTCTTCAGTCGAATACAGAAAGTAGGCAGGAACAGTAGAGATGTGAGGACTGATTACATCGTCCATCAAGGGTGATGGATTGATTACATCGTCTTCACATCTCTACTGTTCCTTCCTACTTTCTGTATTCGACTGAAGAAGCCTACTGTGTAGGCGAAACGTTTCGGAACAAAGTTGCCTAACTGTTGCCTATGTGTCTTACCTACCAACCTGTCGGTATTGTATACCATTTTGATGTTCAACTGAGCCTAAATGTTGTACTTTACTTTACTGATAACTTTTCAGAGACCAGACGATCTCCTTTTATTAAAAGAATTCAGCCTGAGCTGTTCTGTTGTGCAGGTTGCCCAGGGAAAGGACGAAGAGGATGAGGATGTTGTTGCAGCTAATGACATCAACATTGTTATGAATGATGCCGACACCCCTTCAGTTGTCATCCCTCCTCCTGTATCCTTTCCATCTAACGAGCCCACTCCACCTCCAAAAGAATCTCCAACATTCTCTAACTATGATTTCGAAAATACAAGAGATTCTCCAGTAGCAAATCCGTACACCAAGATGTCTCCCACCAGTCGGCCGTCATCCGACGCCAACAGCTCCGCCACCAACACACCGTCATCTTCATCTTCTCACTCTAAAAATCAATACTCCTCTTTCAGCAACAGAAGTCCTCCTGTCCTTCCAATAACAGCAGTGGCGGCACAGCGATGCCCACAACAGAGGCACCTTCTTCCAAGAGTCTTCAAGGCTCAGTCAACAATGAGACTCCTGCCCGTCCTCCAACATAACAGTCCACCGCCCTCACCCGTCCTATTGTCGTGTACAAGCAGACAGCTGTGTAAGGAGCTTGTGTACGACCAACTTGAGTTGTTCTTTGGTTGAGGCGCTCTAGTCTTGGTAGAATCAGGATGGTGGAGGACGATATGCCAAAGAGAATTACGAACAAATGTGAGTTGCATGAATAGCAAGTGTTGAGCCATAGCACTAACACACGAGTGTGACTTCTGCAACACAAAATTAAAAGTGTCAGACCTAAGATCTTCATGAACTAGTGGAGATACATGTTTCTATTACAATAAAAATATGTAACTTGGGTTATCTCCAACAAGCACAAATCTTCAGTAATTTTAGGCTTGAATGGAATTTCGGCAATTGATCCTCCCACACAAAGATACTTGAGTGCCTTCTTGTTGTTTCTTCTGTGTTTATGTTTTGTAGTAACTTGACGGGTGGCGGCAGTGTTGACTCTTTATAGTATTGTAACTAAATGGAACTAATTTCAAGCCATTAGAAATAAATATAAGACTTTAAAAAACTTAGTAAATTCCATGTAAAGCATGTAAAACTTTTGTCAATAAATTCAGAAATTGCTATTGATTGTGCAATATTAAAGCCACACTATCACACAATATGCTAAACCTCTCCAAGGGAAAATAAGAGACACATAAACCATTTAATCTAGTATTATCTGTTTTTTTAATGAGATACATGTCATAGGGAAATGTATCAGAAGTGAGAGTAAATTAGTTCCTCCACGACCTTTTAGGTGCCATACCTACCTACCAGCAGCAGTGGCAGCCTGGTGGTGAGCCTCAGGAAAGAGACCAGCGGTCTCTTTCCTGAGGCTCCTGTCTTCACAATCATAAAGCCAGGTTTTCTCTGCCCTGTACTTGTAATTAACCATAGGGAATTACTCTTTGAATTTAACAGTGAAAAAACTTAAACCTAACAAAAATACGTCTTGGATATTGTTGAATTTTCTTGGCTTAAGGTGTCATAAACACTGATCTAAGAAAAGTGATACAACACTTGGGAAGAAAACTGTAAAACAGGTAAAAGAGATCTATATATTTCTTCTCGGTCAGAAACCTTCTTTATCTTCTGATGAGGGTCTCTGACTGAGGCTGAGAGGCACACGACTCTTAGAACTGTTATCTGTGTTTCACTTTTCTATTCAAGTGTTTCTCACTTTCATCGCTTTATTTGTTCTTCTGGTTAACGATTATGTTCGTAATACAAATGTTCTTACAAAAGAATAACCAGCTAAGAATATGCACGACATTAGTGTAAGAACCTCTGTGTGACCGATTGCCAATAGTTTCATATTATATGTAGACTGACAGTGCCGGAGCTAGAGCCTGATGCATGACAACTGCGAGTGTGCTGCAGCTGGGGTTCTGACATGACCTCATGTCACACAACAAATTTGTGATAAGCTATTATTTTTGTTTTCAAAGTTCTATTCATTAGAGTTCCTGCAGCTAGAAACACTCAGATTATGTGTTGGGTTGTTGAGTTGTGTGCCATCTTCCTACATGTAAGTCCACTCATCATACTAATATCTTCATTATATCATTGTATCTATAATTATCATCTCGCATTTCTCATGATAATCATCAAATATTTATCATACGCATCAATGGTCAGTCATTCAACACTGAGTTACTATGTGTTGCAGGTAGTAAAACACTGAGTTACTATGTGTTGCAAGTAGTAAAACACTGAGCTTACTATTTGTTGCAAGTAGTAAAACACTGAGTTACTATGTTTGCATAGTATAAAACACTGAGTTCTATGTGTTGCAGTAGTATAAACACTGAGTTACTATGTGTTGCAGTAGTAAAACACTGAGTTACTATGTGTTGCAAGTAGTAAAACACTGAGTTACTATGTGTTGCAAGTAGTAAAACACTGAGTTACTATGTGTTGCAAGTAGTAAAACACTGAGTTTACTATGTGTTGCAAGTAGTAAAACACTGAGTTACTATGTGTTGCAAGTAGTAAAACACTGAGTTACTATGTGTTGCAAGTAGTAAAACACTGAGTTACTATGTGTTGCAGGTAGTTAGCAGAATTTTTCTAAAGTGTTTCGTTACTTTCGTCAGTTTTATACATTCCACTTTGTTACAGACAGAAGGCTGATGATAACTAGGAAAGGATTCTCATAATTGTCTTCTCTGCTGTACATTTTTTAATACTTAAAACATATCATTTTTCTACTGTAGTTGATAGACCGACGTATTTAGTGCATAAATAAGTAGTTTATATTTTTTTCATTTTTTTGTGTACTTCTGTAAAAAAATGTCTCCGACACTTTTCTGTCTGGTATTGTCTATTGTCTAGCAGACCTGCAGCTCTTATTATATTTATTGTTGGTTTATATGTGGGTTATATATATATATATATGTGTGTGTGTGTGTGTGTATGTGTGTGTGTGTGTGTGTGTGTGTGTGTGTGTGTGTGTGTGTGTGTGTGGTGGGGTGTGTTGAAGGTTCATGGAGGTCAGTGATAGTGTTTGAGGTCAGGTCAGTATCACCTACCTGGCAGTGGATGCCAGGTGACTTGTCTGTAAGATAATTTCTCTGTTAGTTTCGGGTTATAAACTTTCCGATATCAAACACCTCCCCAAGTGTCACTCCATCTTTCCCATTTATCCATCCCTCTTGCGAAGGGATTCATTTTGCTGTATTATGTGCAGAAAATAAGGCATCTTCGAACCCCCTACCCAAGCCTCTTGCAATGATGCTGTGGTGTTTATAGGTAAAACTTGATTAAACTTAAAATTAAATCAAATATACATTGAAGTCTCGCTTTGTCTAGCATTTCAAAAACAATACACTACAGTAACTAACCCGAGTAACCAACACATGGAAAAGGTCTTGGAAACAGAAATAACGTTTGTAATACTTTAACGTTCTGAATCAATTAATAATCTGGAATATGCCTAATTTTGTAGATATAATACTATACTTTATTTTCAAAGGTCAGGGATCCATTACATGCAACTGTCATGTTTGAAATATACTTCGATTTTCACTTGTATTAAACTCTAGGTGCAATGCTTCTCTCTGACGTGGGAACTTATGATAGAACAGTTCCACATGGTGGGGGATGCTCTTCTTATTATTATTATTATTATTATTATTATTTCTATCACGGTGATGCGCTAAACCCACAAGGGTCATACAGCTATTCATCATTATCAAGTAACTCATCTTGAGAGAGTTCTTATTCTTATGTTTCTAAGGCTAACTTCTCTAAACATTTCTGGTTAACATGTGTATTTTAGTATCGAACAGGCATCAGCAGTCCATAAAATATTTGCTGTTACGTTATAATGCTTGATTCTCAACTAAAATTTAATATTTTTTATTTAGGAAGAAGTTTATATCTCTGATCAGGGATTTATGACATGCTCGTAAGATTGTCAGTTCTCAAACTTGGTCCACTTTTCTGTCACTCCCAAAATTTCGGCATCACTATTTTCCAGTTAAGAACTGATAGTTTAGGAATAATTGCAGCTAAAGACATAATGTTATTTCATCAAAATTAAGAAAATATTGAAGATGTCAAGGAACATTATAACATACCTTATTGTAAAACACTATTAATTATTTATCATCCTGTCGCAACTAATCTTATGCAATTATTGTAAACAAATTAGACTGCATGATGAAATCTATTTATTGAGGAAACACCTTAACTGCTGTCTATTCTCTCAATATATGGCTATCTTACCTTTTTCAACCATTATAGGATAGAATGTTATACAAACATTGTCATTATATGTTCTAACTTTCCATATACAACTTCTAAAGTTGGTACTCTTATTATCTCTCTGAACTACGTAAGTTTTCTGAAGTTCTAAAATCAAGGTACCTCTTTGTAAAATATTGATTATTCTTAAAATAACATGTTAATATGCATGGTACTTTCTGCAGACTGTGATCCAGATGTTAATGTCTTTTTTCACTTCAGCAAATACTGATTGATGGCAGTTCGCTTCGTCTCCCAATGATAATTATTCTTCTCTTCTCCCATGTCCATCTTTCTTACTTGTCTTCAACATGATTTAACATGTGGCTCCACTTCACAATTTTATTAATGCCTTCCTCCATTTTCAATCTTCGTCAACTGGCCATTCTATTTTCACGTTATGTTAACCTCACCTTGCAGAATTACTTGTCAGTTTTTAAATCACGCCATCAGCGTTTTAACTAGAACAAAATTCGCTGGAATAATCCACAACACACAAATTGTAAATCAATCTTAGGACGACGTTTCGGTTCGTCCTGAACAATTAAATAAATCGCAACTTCAGAGAAGTTCAGGAGGAATCGAAACATAGTCTGAAGATTTATCTCCAGCTGTGGGGTTAGTTGTCAGTCAACAAATATCAGCCTTAACATTTAATCTTTATCAGCCCTTCCTAACTACTATGTGCCGCGTGTGTGTCCACAGATTATCCCTCGCCCTTTTAACACATCTACTCTTTGTCAAGAAAGTGACTTGATAAACCTCTACACAGAGCAAAACGTTGTACCCGCTATCCTTCCGAAACCTGTTGTTGTCAGCTGTGAGCTCTGTATTTTTGACTAGTGTCTTCCTTTTTTCCAGTCACTTGTAACTGTCCTTATTCTCCAGTCACTTAACTCGTCCAGAGGTCTCACTGTTTAGTCAGTCCTCAAAATTTATTATGACCATTTGTCATGTTTCCCTTTGTGGTTTACTTCTTCTGAACACTTGTGAACGGTAACACAAACATTGTTACTAATATACGAGAATAAATGAGAAATAAAACACTGTTTTATTAAATCCTCACAGACCGGGCCGCGGGCGTGTTGACCCCCGGAACTCTCTCCAGGTAAACTCTCCAGATCATACTGTGAGAGGTAGTGCAAAACACGGGATTACAGAGGTTACAATGGGTCTTTATCAGACCTCACTAGGCAAAGCTACATGATTACAAATATTGCAGTCATTTTAAATATCTTATTTAATGCTGCCTCCCAGCATACATCTCTCACGAGATTGATGGACTGAACACATCGACTCAAGGTTGAGGGACTGATTACCTCATTCTCCTCCTGTTTTTCAAGTTTCTCCTACGTATGGACTGATGAAGCCACTGTGTGGCGAAACGTTTCCTCAATAAAGATACCCAAGAGTTGCACATGTGTCTAATTTATCAACATGTCGGTTCTCTGAACCATTCATCTACAATACATCTCTCACCTTAAAGGACCATAACATTGTATCAATCGCATCTGCTAGAAAAATGACAGGATGGATAATGAGAACCTTCAAAACTAGGGATGCCAAGCCCATGATGACACTCTTCAGGTCACTTGTTCTATCTAGGCTGGAATATTGCTGCACACTAACAGCAGGTGAAATTGCTGACCTAGAAAATGTACAGAGAACTTTCACGGCACGCATAACGGAGATAAAACACCTCAGTTACTGGGAGCGCTTGAAGTTCTGAACCTGTACTCCCTGGAACGCAGGCGGGAGAGATACATGATTATATACACCTGGAAAATCCTAGAGGGACTAGTACCGAACTTGCACACGAAAATCACTCACAACGAAAGCAAAAGACTTCGGCAGACGATGCAACATCCCCCCAATGAAAAGCAGGGGTGTCACTAGCACGTTAAGAGACAATACAATAAGTGTCAGGGGCCCGAGACTGTTCAATTGCCACCCAGCATACATAAGGGGGATTACCAACAGACCCCTGGCAGTCTTCAAACTGGCACTGGACAAGCACCTAAAGTCGGTACCTGACCAGCCGGGCTGTGGCTCGTACGTTGGTTTGCGTGCAGGCAGCAGTAACAGCCTGGTTGATCAGGCTCTGATCCACCGGGAGGCCTGGTCACAGACCGGGCCGCGGGGGCGTTGACCCCCGGAACTCTCTCCAGGTAAACTCCAGGTAAACATAAGGGGGATTACCAATAGACCCCTGGCTGTCTTCAAGAAGACATTGGACAGGCACCTAAAGTTAGTACCTGATCAGCCGGGCTGTGGTTCGTACGTCAGTCGTACGTCAGCTGTTGACGGCGTTGAGGCCTGGTCAGAGACCGGGCTGCGGGGGCGTTGACCCCCAAAACTCTCTCCAGGTATATCATTGAAAATATTGGTCATTATTGGGTTGCAGTATCTTTAAATACCATTTTATTCATACAGTAGATGAAGTCTCAAAGTTTCAGGTAACTTATTGTTAACAATGAAGTGGTGTACCATTACCTGTAGGGTTTGCGTGGAGGCGTCTCTAAGTGGATGAATGTTTGGATACTCTAGTGTGTGACCCGTCTCTAGCCACACACTGTGCGTCGTGTATCACTGACATGCGAACCGTACTACCAGAGATACTTATAACTTAGCCATAATCAAGGAGTAACAATGTCTTGTAATCTACTTGCTCCGTAGATATATTTAGCTTCAATATTTTCCCCCGGGGGGGTAGAAATTTCGGGGTTCCCTTATTTTCCCTTATGCTAAAAAAATTTGAAAAGCCTATCAGGCCCAAGTGCAAACTTCTACTGTAAGCGGTTTGACAGGGGCTCTGTTAGTGTCGGGGAAAAGACCCCCCCAAGATATAGCAAAGGGTTTTAAAAATGGAATTTGGAGTCCTTAAAGTAAAGGGTTAGTAGAACAACAAACTCTAATTACCCCTCGGAAAACGAACCAACTTTTTGGGCCCACAAAAACATAAACGAAAAAGGGTAAATAATTTTAATGCCCAGTGTAAGGG